TGTGTCAGTTTAAAAGACAAAGGTTTGATATTCAAGTCTATTTTCTTGTAATTCAGTCTTTTTTTTTTCTACATGTAACTTTTTAAGGATCAAACTGTCTTCCTTGCCATTTAGCAAAGGTAGAAACTTTGTTCAAACTTTTAAATTGTGTGCTTCTATTTCTTGGATTCTTATCTCTCAGCTAAGCATATAATTTTTTTAATATCAAAGAAATGATAAAAAAATTAAAATCCCACGATTGTTTCCAAGAAGAGTGCCTACCCTTCTTCTAAGCCTGACTTGCTCTTCTATGATAGTCTTTTAGATTAGTAGTCCTCCCCCCAAAAAAGGAACAGAAGTGGTTTTGAATGAAATAATGTATTTTTTTTTAAATCCTTAAACTCAAAAGTAAGAAAAATAGAAAAAGATCCCCCACACCTTAGTAGTGCTTGCCTTTGGCCTGCTTCCCCTCTGAGACTTGGAAACTCATCTCCACATGACGTGTTTTTCCCGTGCAGCCTTGCTCTCACTTGATGCTGCTCTTTCACAACATCTCAGTCATGTCATCCTCTGCCCTGACCACAGCTTTCCCCTCTGCACTCAGGAAGTGGGTCCTGTGCTGTCATTCTGTGCTGTCTGTCCTGCTGTCCGTCCGGCTGTCTGTCTGGCTGTCCCTCTGCCTCTGTCTGGAAGGCATCCTCCACCTCTTACCTAGGGGCAGCCTGTACTATCCAGGACCAATCCACAGGTGCACGATGATGTTCTCAGGATTTGCTTTCCCGTTGCCACCCTCCCCTTGGTCTTCTAGCTCCTGTGGTCTTCCAGCAGAGCACTTACCACAAGGAAGGCAGTGTTTCAATGGCAGTCTCCCTGTCCTGTGGGTTCTCTGAGGACAAACAAGAACCAGGACTCATCCTGCCTCTCAAGAGCTAAGCACAAGCCTTTGCACATGGTATTAGTAACTAATACTTCTAGGCACTTAGTATGTGCCAGGTGTGTCCTTACTGGATAGTCAATTTCTGTGGATTTAATTCTCATAACAACCCTACAAGATAGACATGTTATTACCTCCATTTTGCAGATGAGGAATCTGAGCACAGAAGCAATGAGCAACTTCTTAGTCCCAGAACAAGTATCCATGATGCTAGGGTTGAATGCTAAACCTAGCAGTCAGATCTCAACTTACTCTTCTCTCTTGTGCTCAGTCACTCCCTACAGTGATTCTCAACAGAGGATTAAGTGAATAAAGGAACCAAAAGGACCCAAAGAAAGGGTTGAATGACAGTATTGCAGACAGCCAATTTATCCAGTAACCTAGATGATTAGATGCACAGATGTTAACTTTTCAGCCAATTAAAACTATTCTTTTTGGTTTCCATCCCTCACCTCAGACTATTTTTCCTAAAATTATTTCTAAAATCAATTGTGTGTTTTCCTGCCTGATTAAATAGTTCACAGAGCATCATCCAATCATTTCTTTTTCTTCCTTCCTTTCTTTTTTTAGTACTTTGTTTCTTTTTTTAGTACTAGGGATTGAACTCAGGGCTGGGCACATGCTTGGCATACACTCTATCCCTGAACTATACCCAGCCCTTTTTTTAAATTTTTTTTTTTTTTTTGAGATAGGGTCTCACTAAGTTGCCCAGCCTGATCTCAAACTTTTGATTTGCCTGCCTCAATCTTCTGAGTTGCTTTGAATTACAGGTCTAGAGCACAGGCCCAGGTCATTTCTTAATGACTAGAACCATCTTTGAGATTAACAAATGTTAACTGTGGTCTGAGTTTCATTAGCATCTCTTAATTAAGAGGGACCTCCAGGCACTTTTAAATATGGTTTCTTAACTAATTTACTTTTTTTTTCTTAAACTCTTGTTTGTATTTCTAGATGCTTCTTTGGTCTATTTTTAAAAGTGTCTTTTCGTGTTCTCTGATACCATAGGGCAGTAAGTGATCACTTCTTGCTCTCAACCCGCTGTTTACCAGTGGCCTCCTTGATTTAGTTGACTGTTGGTGATCACTCATGGGGGATTTGGGTCACTAGATTTGTTGATGTTATTTCTAAAAACCCTTCTTTGTGTGCTGTGTCCATCTCATTGTTGCCAGAGTGACCAGAGTGCTTGGGAGGAAAACATTTTAGTTTCCTCAGACTAACATATATATTTTTTAAGTATTTCTTTTTTAGTTACAGATGGACACAATACCTTTATTTCATTTTCACGTGGTGCTGAGGATCGAACCCAGTGGCTCACACATGCCAGGCAAGCGCTCTGAACCACCACCCCAGCCCCTAGCATGTTGTTTTGAGAGGAAAGCCCTGGCTGTTTCTCTCTGCGGTTGCTTGGCCTCTGTGGAATCAGAGGTCATGTCTTACTGTCTTCTTTCAGTTAGAGTGCTCTGTAAAGGCCAAGTGTCAGTCATGCCTTAAGATGACTGGTGGAGGACTCCAGACTGTGAGAGAAGTCACGTAGTTAACTGTAAGTGACCTGACATAGTCAACCTTCAGGGAATTACTTTTTTTTTTTTTTTTTTTTTGAGATTTGGAAAACCTTGATCTTCCAGGGTAAGCAAAAAAGAGAACATTTAAAAAGCTATCTCTAGTCAGTAAATATAAATAAACATAAAGAAAGCAGGCTCTAGGTTTGGGGTTATCCAGGCTTCTAAGTTCATGACCTAGGGCCTGGGTGAAGAAAAAAAATAAGCCTTACTTAGCCAGGTCATTGACTTTTGACATTAGTTTTCTAACTTGGCAGAGTTGACCCCTGAACCTATTCTGAGTTCTTCCCCTTGGCTCCCCAGCCTGGCTTTCTTTGCCTGCAAACTGGTGTTCACTCTTGTGTCACTTTTTCTACATCTAGTTCCTTAGCATCAAGCTCAGTTAATGTGCAGAGCTAAGCACATATTGTAAACGGCTACTCTTGCAGAAGGTTTAGTCCTCATACTTGCTACAGAGAAGTTCTGGGGATGCCAGTTGAATGTGCAGAAATGTGTCCTCTCTGTCAGCACCAGCTGTGGCTGAGCAGGGGTTTAGCTTTGAAATTCCCTCTCCTCCTCCATCTTCTAACAAATCACTTTGTTTTGTTATTTCTAGTCTAACCCTTAATTTTATTCATTTATTTTTCCATATTTTTTATTGGTTCATTATAGTTGTACATAGTGGTGGGGCTTCATTGTTACATACTTATACATGAACACAATATAACAATATAATTTAGCCAATATCATTCATTCCTCAGTATTTTCTCTTTCCCTCCCCACTAAGCCCTTCCTCTACTCTACTGATCTCCATTTGATTTTCAAAAGACACCTACCCCTGAATACCTTTCTTTTCCTTTTTCCTCTCTAGCTTCCATATAGGAGAGAAAACATATAACATTACTGAGTTTAGCTTATTCCACTTAACAATAGTCTCAAGTTCCATCCATTTTCCTGCAAATGACATAATTTTATTCTCCTTTATGGCCAAATAAAACTCATTGTGTGTATATACCACATTTTCTTTATCCATTCATCAGTTGATAGACACCTAGACTGGTTCCATAGTTTGGCTATTGTGAACTGTGCTGCTATAAACATGGGTATGCATGTATTACTATAGTATACTGACTTTAATTCCTTAGGATAAATACTGAGGAGTGACATAGCTGAGTCCTATGGTGGTTTCATGTCTAGTCTTTTGGGGAATATTCATACTGATTTTCATAGTGTTTGTACTAATTTACAATACCATGAACAATGTAAAAGTATTACTTTTTCTCCTTATCCTCTCCAGAACTTATTCTTGTTTGTATTCTTGATGACTGCCATTCCGACTGGACTGACATGAAATCTCAATGTTGTTTTGATTTTCAATTCCCTAATTGATAATGATGTTGAACATTCTTTCATATATTTGTTGGGCCATTTGTATTTCTTCTTTGAGAAATGTGTATTTAATTCATTTGCCTATTTATTAATTGGTTTATTTGTTTTTTTGGCATTTTTTGAGTTCTTTATATAYTCATGTATGTAGACATATGTTTGATTGACTTAGTAATTATACATATTGATGCTGAACAGTGTGACATTTCGATATATGTATTATATGTGGGATGTGGACTGATCTAATCATGACAACTAACTTGTMGTCTCATTTATTATTTCTTTATGTTAGGAACATTGAAAATTCATTCTATTAGCTATTTTGTACTATTCAGTTATTAGAGTCAACCATAGTTATCCTACTGTGCTCTACCAAACACTTTCTAAGAGATTTCCTAATACCTCATTTGGGGAACTAACTTGAACCAAACTGAACTATGCATCACAAACAAGAATAAACTCTTTTAACTTACTAAGCCTTGGGCCTCATTTTTTTCAAACCCCTCAATAGTGGGGTTTGAACCCAGGGAAGGCCCTTGCATATGACAGGCAAGTGCTCTATCACTTAGCTATATCCACAGCCCTTTTCAAAATTTTTATTTTGAGATAGAATCTTGTTAAGTTGCTGAAGCTGGTCTCAAAGTTTCAATTCTGTCTCACTCAGCCCCCTAAGTAGCTGGTCTTACAGGCATGCACCACCACATCCAGTAAACCACGATTTCTTCAATGAATTTTCAACTGAATTCAGGATAGAAATAAGAAGGCATTAATAAATAAATTGAAATTCAAACTGAAGCTATAAACTAAAGTGAAAATGTTGATAATATTACAGGATCAAACCATACCCAAGGAAAGAGAGTTTTCTTGGTTGCTTCAATTCTCTGGTCAAGATGGCCGTTGATTGCTGTACTTTCCCAATCATGGGGGAAAGAATGAAAACAACCTTTTTGGAGAAAACTATCTGAAGCCTCATTTTCTTCAATCCCACATTTGAGCTTCAATCCCAAGGTTTTAAGGGTTTTTTTTTTATATATACAGCCTCTCTAAATAATTTATCCTTTAGAAAGAGTTATATTGAAAGTATAACTTTGATACTGAAAAAAAAAGGAAAAGTCTTGTTTATGAAAGTGGTATCTATTTTCAAATATTTTTTTTTCTTTTAGGGAAATCAGAAACAAGGCAAATGTTCAATTTGGAGATAACGGAACAACAATATCTGCCGTTAGCAACAAGGCATACGTTTTTGAACGGAACCAATCTGTTGGAGACCCTAAAGTTGACTTAATTAGAACACTGAATATTCCTGTACTGGTAAGCAGACATTTTTATGTCATTGTGAATTTTAGAAGAAAGGAAAAAGATAAGGCTAGTATATGGTTTTGGTTTTAGGAACCACTATTTAGGAACCTATTTAGGAACTGCTATGTTTAATATATATATATATATATATATATATAATGTAGAAAATGTATCTTCCTTCTCTTCTTTAAAGCCATCTTAGACTTTTTTCCCCTGAGGTCTATTAACAAGGTCTTTTCAAATGATAATAAAAATACAAATTTTAGGATTTGTTTTCACAGTTTCTTCCTGTGTGTTCAACATTAGCACTTGTGAAATAAATAAGAATTTCTTTGGTAGCTAGTAATTTAAAACATACTTATTTGTCCCCCCCCCCTTCTTAGTTGAGATTTCTATCTGGTATTTCAGATTCTAGATATTTCTAGAATCTGAAATACCAGATTGACTTTTTTCTCCCTTTTTCAAATTGCAAAGAATGGGCCATTGATTAGAACCTATTGATAATGGCAATTCCACCTTATAATGGCACCTATACTCTACCTATACTATACTGAAACCCAGGAAACTTGTTTTTGGTGGTTGTGGAGGACCAGGGATTGAACCCAGAGGTGCTTAACCACTGAACCACATCCCCAGCCCTTTTTATATTTTTTTTAAATTTTGAGACAGAGTCTTGCTAAGTTGCTTTAAGGCCTCGCTAAGTTGCTGTGGCTGGCTTTGAACTTGCGATCCTCCTGGGACCAGGAAACTTTCTGATTCAAGTACACCAACCTCTTCTGAGGTTCTCACTGTACCTCCTAGGTGACTGCCCCATACATATTCAGTTAGACATTTGTTGGACCTAGAACCTAAGAGAATATGGATCCCAGATCCTGCCTTACCCTGCCACCTAATGGTGTACCGTTTATAATGAGGGTTCAACTTTCAGCTCTGCTCAGAAGGAATCGTAGCGCCACCGTGTGGTCAAAAATGCCACGTATTCACAAGAACTTCCCCCTTCTGTGATGTTGGGATAACAGCCTGCAAATGAGGATGCTAAGCTCACGTTTACAAAACGTAATATGAGAAGGAACAACAACTGAAGAGCCTTATTATTCCACATGCAACCAGAGAGGAGCTCACAGACTGATTTTTCAGCTCTTTAACCTCAACATAGAAGTTTCCAGCCCCTTTTGATGAGGGATAGTAGAAGAGAGCAGGGTGGAGGTGTTTGGGAGAGGAGCACACTCTGATCTTAAGTTGCCTTTGTCACCCAGACCGTCATAGAATGGGCCCAGGTCCGCTTCCTCAGGACGCTCATCGAAGCCATGTTGAAAGCCTATCAGCAGAAGCTCTTCGTGACTCACACGGTTGACGAATTGCTCTGGGGCTACAAAGATGAGATCTTGTCCCTCATCCATGCCTTCAGATCTGACATCTCCCCATATTTTGGCCTGTTTTATGAGGTACGTTGAGTTTTCTTCAAAGCTTCTTTGTTCAGCTTATGGTGAGGGCAAGGGGAGAGGCACCCCAACTAAGATTTCTTCTTAGATTTTCTTCTAGAATTCCAAAATTGTCTGTCATTCTAGATGTGTCTTATACTGTATGAGAAGTAAGAAAGTGTATGTGTGTGTGGTTTTTTGTTTTGTTTTTTCTTTTTTACCTTGAAGCTGGAGATTGAATTCAAGGCTTGCACATGCTAGGAAAGTGCTCTGCCCCTGAGCTACATCCCCAGCCCTTTTTAAATTCTGTTTTGAGACAGGGTTTGCTAAGTTGCCAAGACCGGCCTCAACCCTCCCTGTTTCAGCTTCCTGAGTAGCTGGAATCATAGGCATCTGCCACCATGCCTGACAAGAAAGTGGTTTTTTTTTTTTTTTTTTTTTTTTGAAGAAAAAATTCTTGAATAACATAAATAGTTGGCAAGTTGGTAATAGCAAAATTAACCTCAGGAAGAAAGTGTTAGATTAGGGGTAGGTAGGCTCCAGGATCGCAGGTAGCTTGCTTATCTTTAAATATGTAGTTATTTTCAAGTTCAGCCTATCTGAGAATCTTACTCTTATCTATGGCACAGCCTTCTGAAAAATTCCTTCTCCAGGATACTTCAGATTTTGTTCTCAAGCCTTTGAATTGATTGAATGAGGTCCACTAACTCACAGTTTTTTTTAATATATATATATATATATATATACACACACACACACACACACTAGGAATTTAACCCAGGGTTAAATTAACCACTGAGCCACATCCCCAATGCTTTTTAAAATTATTTTCATTTTGAAACAGGGTCTTGCTGAGTTGCTTAGGGCCTCACTAAATCCTGAGGCTGGCTTTGAATTTGCAATCCTCCTGCCTCAGCCTCCTGAGAACTTGGGATTATAGGCATCTGCCTCACCCACTCATGTTCTTGAGGGTGATGTCTTTTAGTTAGTTAACTGATTGCAGGTATTTATTCCATCCATGAAAAGCTGTCACAATAGCACATCTAGATTTGTGTTTAACCAAACAACTGAACAGCCTATCCTAGACAAAGTGACATAAAGTTAACCACCATAGTTATTTTAAATTATCACATTCATTTATTTTCAGAAAAATGGAACTAATGATGGAGATTACGTTTTCCTAACTGGAGAAGACAATTACCTTAATTTTACAAAAATTGTGGAGTGGAATGGAAAAACGTAAGTCTAACGACTTATAAGTTTAATTATTTTTTTCATTTTTTATTTGAACTAAGTATACATTCTTTAAAAATTTTAGCATTTTTGGATGAAAATGTCTAAATACGTAAATGTGAAAATGTATAAATATTCTTTAATTATTTTGTAAATTAAGGGGACATAATATATTTTTCAAATTAAATAATAATGATTTATAGAGTTATCGGGATCAGGTGTAAATTACAAGTCAGGGTCAAGTCTCTCTCTTTCTCAGTAGTCATGGAAAGATGTGCGGTAGCCACAGCACAAATACTTTCCAACCAGTGATTGTTTGAGGAGGGAAGGATGATTCTGGTTCTCTTTTTAATTTCATGATTGTGAATTTTTGATGTATTTTTCTTTAAAGATAAAATATGTGTAAGTTCAGTATTATAGCATTTTAAGAATGTTTTATATTTTAATACTTACAATATATCACTAAGCTACTTCCAAAACAGRAGCTGAGATAGCTTACAATAAAGCTACATAGAAAACAAAATAATTTGATTTTTTTAGAGTCAGAAAAATGAGAAACCTTTTAGGGAGAAGGAGGCTAATTCTTCAAAGCCCAAAGTCAAGGAGTTCCATTCCTGAACATTTGATTTACTTGTAAATTTCAGAGCAATCCAGGAAAAGGGATGTACAAAGAGTTTTATGAGTTTTRTTGGCTGTATTATTTCAAGAGAAATAGACTGCATCCTGACTTCAAAATCTGAGAGAAATTCATCATGTGTATTTTTTGTAAAAAGAACTTTGGGTAACATAAAGAAAAATGTCAATAGCAATTTTAGGTGTAACGTAAGCATTTCATATTACCGTATTTCTAATTCATTGGAATAATTTTACAGAAAGCTTAGCTAATATCTGTGAGGTGCATTTCTTTCTGATTCAAAGGTAGATTCCAGAAAACCCAGGAAATGAGYGGTTAACTTGTCCTGTTAGTGCTTATTCTGTAACAGTCACCTGGCTAGTTAAAGAACAGGAAAAAATAAAAAGCATTTTCTGTAAGAATTATTAAGGCAAAATGCTTCACGGTGTACCTAACATACTACTTCTTTTAAGAAATACAAATTTATAAAGACATTGAACAATTTTTTGAATATACAAAAAAAAGAAATACAAATTTAAAAAGCATGTCCACACATGAACCATGTCAAACGAACCAAGGAGGCACTAAGGAGGGTGAGCAGTCACTTCACAGAGGTGAAAACAGGCAAACTCCTCCTTAGTCAGGTAGCCAAGGGCATCAACAGTGGCAGGTCGTGTGGATACCCGGGTGATAACAGGCACAAAGTGGTACTTCGTCTCTGTGGTCCCAAAGCCCAGCCATGAGAAAAATACCAGACTAATCCTCAAGGAGGGATATTTTTTAAAATACTCAGCCATCACTGCTCAAAACTGCCAAGGTCATCAAATACAAAGGCAAGTGTGATAAAGTATCACAACATGGAAGAACCCCAGGAAATATGACCATGATGTGAATTTGTAGTGTCCTGGATGGATCCTGGAACAGAAATAGAACATCAGGGAAAAACTAAGGAAATGGTATTAGAGAGTGGACATCAGTTAATAATAACATATCTACGTTACTTCATTACTTATAACAAATGTTCTACAGTAATGCCCAATGCTAACAATGGGAGAAACTGGGTGCAGAATGGGAGAACTCTACTAGTGTCACAATTTTTGAACTATTTTTAAATTAACAGTCATATAAATTTTAAAAGCATAGCACATATATGTACACAAACATATTTACACACACACACACCCAAATATATAAGATATCTAAAAGAATTTAGAAGAAGCCAGGATGACTGTCTAACAGTCTGGTGGTGGGGTGGAGGAAGTCCGAGGTGGCTAGGTATTGGTACTTGTAAACAGGATATAGCTGGATGTCATTCTATATCCAATCTATTTTCCACGCTTTTAATAGGAGAGCTTAATCTTTTTATATAGATGTTGTAATTATGGGTACATTTGTGATACAATGATATGTTATTTGATATATTGGACTTATTTCTACATTTGCTTCCACACTTAGGTTTTTATGATTCATATTTAGCTATAACTTTTCTCAACATCTGTTTCTTCTCTTTTCTCCTTCCAAACGAGACAATAACTTTACCCAGATCTTACCACCCACACATGTACCTCCTCCTTGTTACTCTTGTCTACACCTTATTTCACACTCTTACCAAGTTAAGTATAAGCTAAAAAAAAATCATTATCTTACCAACTTATTTACTAATTTATACTTTTTTTCTTCTCATGTCTTCCTCCTGGGTTCATTTTTCTTCTTGCTAAAGATTGTCTGTTAATATGGTGATTTGCAATCACAGGTCATTTTGCTACCCCACCGCACCCCTCTGCACCTCACCCCAGGAGACATTTGTTGGTGTCTGGACGTTTTTTAAATTGTCTCATCCTAGGAGTGCTGCTGGCATCAGTCTACTAGGTGGTAGCATTGCAGCCCTAAAGTCTACCAATACAGGACAGAAAAGTCCCAAGTCCAGAATGTTAATAGGTGGAGAAACCCAGCATGCTTAGCTCTTTCATTCAGTAAGGCTCTGAGGTGGTAAAATCTCTGTGACTTTGCATATATTAAATGTCATTACTCCACTCTGAGTTTTGAATGATGTTAGCCAGGTACAGAATTCTAGGCCAACCGTTCAAAATTACGGTGCTGTTACTCCATTGACCTTTGGTCTTTATCTTTTCCTTTATCTTCTGCAAAATGTGTCCAGATCTGAATTTATTGTATTTATTTTGTTTGGCCCTTGAGGGATACCTTGAATACTTTTAGCAATTATCTCTTCAATCACTGTTTCTCTGGTATTATTTTTTAAAAATATTTTTTAGTTGTCAATGGACCTTTATTTTATTTCTTTATATGTGGTGCTGAGAATTGAACCCAGTGCTTCACACATGCTAGGCAAGTGCTCTACCACTGACCCATAACCCAGCCTCTCTGGTATTTTTCAGCCTAGTCTTAAGTACTCCCCGATTCCCTGAATTCCTATTACACATTTATTGAAGCCTCTCATCTAGTTTCTGTATCTTGGTCCTTTAATTTTTAATTTTTCTGAGCTTGTGGTTTGTAAATTCCTTAGAACTATCTTCCAGTTCAGTTTTCTCTTTAGCTGTGTACAGCCTGGGTTTTATTCCTATACTGAGTGCCCCCCCCCAAAAAAAATAACCTATTTTTTTATATCTAAGATTTCTTTATTTTCCATTTTTGTATCTTCCTTATTTCATTCTTTTTTATTTTTTAAATAATTTCCCACTATTTTTTAAGGATGTTATTTTTTCATTTGTCTCTTGGAGGATACTAACCAGCATACATATTTAAAGTATTGGCCAGGTTGTTTCATTATTTTAATTTCTTCTAAAGTGAATTCATTTCTTTGTTGTTGATTTTGTTTCTGGTCCTTTAATGTAAGTTTCCTTCAATGAAAGGAAACTTTTTTTTAAATTATTTTAGTTGTTGATGTACCTTTATTTTTTGCTTATTTATATGTGGTGCTGAGGATCGAACCTGGTGCCTCACACATTCTAGGCAAGTGCTCTGCCACTGAGCCACAATCCCAGCCCCTAAAGGAATCTTGATTTGCAGAATTACCTTAGTTGGGAAGGGAGTCTGTTATCAGTGTGCTAAGGTTGGCCTCACATTTGTGATCCTCCTGCCTCAGCCTCCTGAATTGCTGAAAGTGCCACCACACAGGGCTAAAAACTGTTKTTTTAAAAAAACATGCTATCTCAACTGCGCTTTCAGTTAGCATAAAGTCATTTCAGTATTTCTTGTGATCCAAGAGAAGTCCTCCATTATTTTTGGAAGAGAGTAGTATTCAGAAGATGCATTGACTCTGTCATGAATATTATAGAGCCAGATATGTCTATTCAGAGTCTGTCTGTGGCCTGGGCTGGCTGTGGACAAGGCATTATTAATGCTAAATTGGGTTACTGCTTTAAGTAAATCAATATTCCTAAATCTTTATGTAGAATACACAGTTTGGAAGAAGAAAATAAGGCTTTAGAGCTTTTATGTTATTAAGATGGATTTGAGGTCCAGGACCTACTTTTTCTCCTCTCCTAATCCCTAGGACTCTGTGTCTGTGTATGAATATAGCCACCTCCGATTCCATCATGGAAAGTCTTGACCATTTAAAAGAATCTGTATTCCATTTTGATCATCATGACTCTTTCTCATGCTTATCAATTGTAGGTCTCTTAACTGGTGGGCAACGGACGAATGCAATATGATTAATGGGACAGATGGAGATTCTTTTCATCCATTAATAACCAAAGATGAAGTCCTTTATGTCTTCCCATCTGATTTCTGCAGGTAAGAACTTTAAAAATGAGTTCTATTTTTTAAAACTAAGGATTTTTACTACAAGAACACCTAAAGCATGAGGAATGTGTGCAAATGTACTTATTATGCATAATAGTGGTAAATGCTGATGGCACATTGAGAGAGCACGACTCCAGAGCCTGTTTGGGTTTTTTTCCAATTATTTTTTATTTGTTCTTTTTATATATACATGACAGTAGAGAGTATTTTGACATACATACATGGAATACACTTTCCCATTCTTGTGGTTATACATGATGTGGTGTTTTACTGATCACATATTCATATGTGAACATAGGAAAATTATGTCCAATTAACTCTACTGTCTTTCCTACTCCCATCCCTCTCCCTTCCCTTTAGTCCCCTTTGTCTAATCCAGTGAACATCTATCCCCCTATCCCTTATTGTGCATTGGCATCCACATATCAGAGAGAACATTGGGCCTTTGGTTTGGGGGGATTGGCTTATTTCACTTAGCATGATAGCCTCCCGTTCCATGCATTTATTGACAAATACCAAAATTCCATTCTTCTTTAAGACTGAGTCATAGTCCATTGTATATATTTACCACATTTTCTTTATCATTCATCTGCTGAAAGGCACTTGGTTACATAGTTTAGCTACTGTGAATTGAGCTTCTGTAAAAAATTGATTTGGCCGCATCACTATAGTATGCTGATTTTAAGTCCTTTGGGTATATGCCGAGGAGTGGGATAACTGGGTCAAATGGTGGTTCCATTGTAGGTTTCTGCGGAATCTCCATACTGCTTTTGAGGATGGTTATAACAATTTGCAGTCCCACCAGCAATGTATGAGTGTACCTTTTCCCCCACATCCTTGCCAACATTTATTATTATTTGTATTCTTCCTAATTGTCATTCTGACTGAAGTGAGATGGAATCTCAATATAGTTTTTTAATACATTTTTTTAGTTGTTAATGGACCTTTATTTTATTCATTTATTTATATGTGGTGCTGAGAATCAAACCCAGTGCCTCACACATGCCAGGCAAGTGCTCTACCCACTGGGTCAGAACCCCAACCCCATCTTTTCCACTTGTGCTTTGCTTGGGTCTTACACTAGGTGTCACCTTCTCTGCTTGTGGTCACCACACTGGCATCTGTCCATGCTGGTCTAGAGGACTCTTTTATTTATTTATTTTTAAACATGTCTCCATTCCAAATGTCTTCCTTCTTTTCCTCCATCTCTTCTTTTTGACACGGGGTCTTTCTATGCTGCCTCAGCCTCCTAAGTGGCTGGACTGCAGGTGTGTGCTACCACACTCTGCTTATGTTATCTTTTTAATTTTTAACCACACATTCTGTTTTCCCTGGCCTCATCCTCTCCACCCTGACCCTGCTCTTCTGTCATGTCACCTCTGCTTCTATTCTCAGACTTCTGGAACAACCAACCCCTGCTTCCTCTAACTTCCTACTCACCAACTCCTGTGGGGCTTCCTGTGAAACTTCTCCTCCAGGAAGAAGGAACCTGTAGCATTACACACTGTGATTCGTTGCTCTCACACTTCTCTACACTGCTGTTCTGCCAGGGTTTCCTGTCTCCCACAACTGCACCACCTGCCATCAGCCACACCCCAGAGTCCTTGGCCTGCAGACTTGTCCATCTCCCTCCTGTATTACACTTATGCAGGCACCACGTGATATCAGTCCACCCTCAGAGGTGGCACTTGGATTCATCCCGCTTCTCCATCCCTGCTCCCTGTGCCACAGTTTGGACCCTTTTAGATCCTTGCCACCTCTCCTGTAGAACATCACACTCACCTTCTATCTAACCACTCTCTTTAGTAAATATCTATGGAAGGATGGAAAGAGGAGATGTTTGAGTGCAATGTAGAACAGAGGAACTCAGAAGGGCCAGAGGAAGTTTCAAAGATTTGGGACAGACATCATACTATAGTGATGCATGCATACCCAGGTTTATAGCAGCACCTTTCACAGTAGCCAAACTATGCATCCAAGGTGTGTGTCACTGTAGGCAAGGATAAAGAAAATGTGGTATATATACAAAAATGGAGTTTTATTCTGCCTTAAAGAAGAATGAAATTATGTCATTTGCAGGAAAATAGATGGAACTTTAGACCATTTGAGATAAGTCAAATTCAGAAGGTCAAGAGTCTTGTTTTCTCTCATATGTGGAAACTAGAGAGATGAAAGGTGAGGGGCAGGGATCTCATGAAAATCAAAGGAGACCAGTTGAGTAGAGGAGAGGGACAGACTAGGAGAAGGAGAAAAGGAGGGAAACGGGAAACACTGGGAAATTATATTGGCGAATTATATTGTAATATTGTGTGCTTGTATCAACCCCACCATTATATACAACCATAATGCACCGATAAAATACAGAAAAATAAATTTTAAAAAATGTAAACCCTACCCTTCATGTACTCAGTGTCCTGAACCAGACTTTGGTTTGCTGATACTCCTTTTTCCCTTTATTAAGGACTTTATGGGTCATAGATACTGGAGCTGGCTTGTTCTGGAGCTGGCTTGTTCTGACAGACCAGTTGAATTTGGGGAAGTTTTTTGACTCTATTGTTAAATATAGATATAATTAAAAATTAAATTACATGAATGTATAATTAAATAAGTTAAATGTATAGTTAGTGTTTTTTTTTTWAAATCCTGCCCTTCTTAGTCACACCATATATCTTTTATTTTCTTCATAGCATTAATACTATCTAACATTATCATGCACTTTTTCTTTTTTTTTCTTTTTTTTTTTAAAGAGAGGTGAGAGAGAGATGAGAGAGAGAGAGAATTTTTGATATTTATTTTTTAGTTTTCGGCAGACACAACATCTTTGTTTGTATGTGGTGCTGAGGATCGAACCCGGGCCGCACGCATGCCAGGCAAGTGCGCTACCACTTGAGCCACATCCCAGCCCCTGTATAGTTAGTGTTTTAAAATAAATTAAATAAGTGTTTTAATAAATACTCAAAGCTTAAAAAAAAGATTGGGGACAGAAGAAACATATTCTTGTCTGGTATAACTGGCTTTGGAGAACCATTTGGTAAAGATTAATAAAACAAAGAGGTACAAACTCATGACTCTGTAATTCTCTACTAGATGGTTCCAGGCATGAATTCTTGTATCTGCATGCAAGGAAACACAGAAAGGAAGTTCATTGCAATATGGACTATCCTAGTGAAAAATTAGAACCCAATCTATGTTTATGAAAAGGGAGAATGTAAATAAGTTGTGGTGTATTCATATGATGGAATATCTTATAGGATTTAAAATAAAAGAACCAGGATATATGTACATTATTATTAATATAATAAAATTTTAAAATATAATGTCAAATGAAGCAAATTACAGAAAGAGAATTTGGGGTATTGTTTATATTTCTAAAAATCAACAATGACATAGTTTATGAATACACAAATATATTAAAGTAAAAGACTTGAATGGAATGACAAACCCCAGATTCAAGATAGTAGTTTCCTCAGGGGAGGCAGAGAAGGAATGAAACCAAAACATTATATAGAGAACATCAGTGGTATCCATAATATAGTTTTTTACTTACCCAAGAAGTGGGTATAAAGGTATTTTCTATACTCTTTCTCTGTTTGCTTAAAATATTTCATTAAAAAATGCCCTGGGCTAGGATGTACAGTGGAAGGCCTCTCTCATATGATTCACAACCTTGCAAAGATGCATCAATGTCTCTGGTTCCAAGATGAAAAAGTGAGGCCCGGGAATCTATTCCCCTCATCTTCAAATGAAGAGCTGGAGGATCAGTGAGGGCGGTGTACGTGAATGTGCTGTGTCGATCAGGCCCCATGCAGATGTAAGGGGAGGGGGTGGTATAATAATAGGTGGAACTGCATTTGAAACAGTTAGGAATGCGGATAATATTGAACTCTATTTAAATGAATGATTGGGACAAAACATGGAAACTCTTTATTTGGGGAAATGGGTATCAAAGTGCAGTCATGCAGCATTTCATGACAGGAATATGTTCAGAAAAACATGTCATTAGGTGATTTCATCATTGTGTGAACATCATAAAATATACTCACAAACTCATAGGGCACTGATGTCACTAGGCAGTACCCTATGGGACCACTGTCCCATATGTGGTCCATCACCCACTGAAATGTCATTATATGGTTCAAGACTCTATGTTCTGAAATCAAATATCTGCCTGATGTGGCACTTTTCAAGTTCCTAAAACTCTACCTGGCCAAGCCTTTGGCTGCCTTTTCCCTTTGTGCTTTGCTTGTGTCTTACACTTGGTGCCACCTTCTCTGCTTGGGGTCACCACATTGGCATCTGTCCATGCTGGTCTAGAGGACTCTTTTATTTATTTATTTTTAAACATGTCTCCATTCCAGATGTCTTCCTTCTTTTCCTCTATTTCTTCTTCTTTTTGACATGGGGTCTCTCTCTGCTGCCTCAGCCTCCCAAGTGGCTGGACTGCAGGTGTGTGCTACCACACTCTGCTTATGTTATCTTTTTAATTTTTTACCCCACATTCTGTTTTCCCTGGCCTCATGGGATATTACCATAGTTGCCACCTCTTCAACATCTTTCATTACAATCGACCTACTTTATTTCACAGTGAGTTGGCCGAACACCTTTCAATCATTCTTTTGCATCTTTATTTTCCACTTACCCATAGCTTTGGGCTCTGTAGTCCCTGAGAACTATTGCTCACTTACCCATTCTGGGCAGATCATGCTGACTAGAGCCCACACTGACTTTTTATTCTTACACCCTAACAGGTCAGTGTACATAACTTTCAGTGACTTTGAGAGTGTACAGGGACTGCCCACCTTCCGGTATAAGGTGCCTGCAGAAATATTAGCCAATACCTCAGACAATGCCGGCTTCTGTCTACCTGAAGGAAAGTGCTTGGGGTCAGGAGTGTTGAATGTCAGCATCTGCAAAAATGGTAAGAACTCAGAGAGACTTGGATCGTGGTGGTCTAAGGTACAGAAAGATGGGGAGTGCAACCAAGAACATGATGCCAGCCCAACAGAAAGAATGATTCTGACCTTTCCAGAATAATGTTTTGTAGCATGGCTATTGAATGACAAAAACCAAAAAATGTGTGTGATGTTGTTTTAGAATGCCATGTTTTTGTTTTTGTTTTCTTAGCAGTAGTTTAGAAGTCTTAATTGTAATAATACCTTATATTTACTGAGCATTTTCTACTGCATGTGCTGCTATTCTAATGGCTTTGCATATTTACATGTAGTTAATACATACAAAGCAATGAACTGGTTTTATGTTTCACACAATGCTAAAGGAAAAGCTGGACAATCTGATTTCCAGGAAGAACATATCTTGGCAAAGATTCATAATGATTTTGAGGTAGAATCAGTTTTGAACACTGACCACAGATTTCCCATTGTCTCTTACTGTCTGCTCCTTTATCTCCTTTTATCTGTACCACTGATAATACTGAATGAGGCAGAATTATCAGTGATATGGCTGACAGAGCTATCTTCTTCTTTTTTAAACTTTTTAAAAAATATTTATTTTTTAGTTGTAGTTGTACACAATACATTTATTGATTGATTGATTGATTGTGGTGCTAAGGATCAGACCTGAGGCCTCGCACATGCTAGGCGAGCGCTCTACCGCTGAGCCACAACCCCAGTCTCATCTTCTTCTTGAAGATTAGTTTTAACAGTCATATGTTGAATTATCCACAATAACTTACTAAATAGATGTTCAGAATCCTCTTTTTATAATTGTAGACAGTGTCTGGCTCTTATTAAACCCTCAAGAGACATATCAAAGGTCATCGTAGGTCAGAGAGAAGAAAATTGGGGCTGTGTGGAACTGTTTAGCAGTAAAGTGCAAACTGCTATGCACGTGAGAGATGATGTGTACCTGGAGCCATGGGCTGGTATGTTTATAAACGGATTTAAATTACTTGCCAATAAGCTCGTTCCTCCAAAACCATATTTTCCTGGCAGCAATATCTTCTTTTCAGTATCCAGATCTGGAATAGATTTCCTTTAATAATTATTTCTCTGTTCAGTTCTTAAAATGAGTAAGAAAGAAAAAAAATCCGTCTTCATATGGGCAAACCTTGATCTGGTTAACAGACATACAGCACAACCAGGCAAACTCTCTTTTTTAGTTCTTTAATTGGTGCATTATAATTATATATAATAGTAGGATTCATTATGCCAGGCAAACTCTTTAAAAATTCTTGCATCAACATATCCAGGAGCACAAAGTTTATCTTTGGTAAATAATAAAAAATAAATTTTAAAAAAAAGCAGAAACAAGGAAAAAATACATTTCTATTCACTGGTAGAGAATTTTTCCCCTTTGTGGTGGGCATTGAACCCAGAACAAGATACTTACTAGGAAAGCACTCTCTCACTGAGCCAGACTGCCAGCCCAAAGAATTGCAATTGAAATGGGTACTTAGAGGTGGGATGTCCTCATTCAATTAGAATTCTGCCTTCCTAACCTGAGAGCTACATATCCTGGGAAAATTTCTTTCTTTCTTTTTCTTTTCTGGTACTGAGGATTAAATTTAGGGGCACTCCACCATTGAGCCACATGCCCAGTCCTATTTTTTGTTTTTTATTAAGAGACAGGGTCTCACTGACTTGCTTAGCGCCTCACCATTGCTAGGCTAGGTTTGAACTCGCGATCCTCCTGACTCAGCCTCTGGGGTTACAAGTGTGTGCCACCACACCCAGCCCCCTGGGCAAATTTTGTAACTTCTGTGAACCTCAGCTTCTACAAATGCAAAACAAGGATATATTAATTCTAATTTCATAGAACTACTAGGAGTATTACTTAATGTACATAAAGTTTGCACTTTATAGGTTCAATAAATATTTGTTGAAGAATAAATAATTTAGCAAGGACTTCTGTATATATAATGTGCAATAAAATAATGTGGGGTATATGAGATGGCAGAAAATGATGCATAAGTCTTGAATTAGGAGGTACAGAAAAGTATTTTAGTTTGTTCACTGTCTTCAAGTTTATGTATGGCTTTTCTTTTTACTTTAGGAACCAAGTTTGTATTCAGGAACTTTATATACATTTTATATTTTAAAAATTTAATAACCACCTTCATTCATTCTGTTTCCATTAAAATGCAGGTGCACCCATTATTATGTCTTTCCCACACTTTTACCAGGCAGATGAGAAGTTTGTTTCTGCCATACATGGCATGCATCCAAATAAGGAAGATCATGAGACATTTGTGGACATTAATCCTGTGAGTACACCCTTCTTCTTGGTAAAAGAGTATATTTTTTATTCTGTATATGCAGTGTTCACTTAGTCCTGAGCATCTTAAGAAACACACTTTTTTTACATATGTATATTCCTTCAAGTGGGGAAGAAAAGGTTGATCAGTGCAGGTTGAGGGATGGTCTTACAGCCCTGTCATTAGAGGGCTGAGTCTGAGGATCTAATATGCAGAAACACCTTCAAACTTCTTACTTGAAAAAAAAAAAAAAAAGGAAGGAGGGATGGAGGAAGCAGCAGTGAAAATGCAGCTATTGGAAACACCTAAGATTGGATCCATGTAACTAACCTTGTTAGTCTTCTGTTGCCAACCCTGGACCTGAGCATATATATGTTTTTTCCCATTGGGACACAAATCAGTAAGGTTAAAGACATCTTTCTGCTTGCTCACTGTCAGAAACATTTTGGCTGAAATTTAAATATGTATATTAGCTTCAGTCACTTTTGGTAAACTTATTTCTATGGTACTTTTGAGAGTTTATTATATGATATTATTAATTTTTAAAACATCAGATCTATTTATGCATTTTTGATCCTGTATTCACAGAGGAGAAAAACTAAAACCATGTTGAAATGATAGGAATATCATTTCACAATGTGAGAGTCTCTCACTGTAGAGGCTAAATCAGGTCAGATAACTTTATCTTGGAACTTTGAATATTATGGGATAATAAAGAAAAGCAACAATATTCTTTTTTTAAATATTTATTTTTTAGTTTTCCAGTGGACATAACATCTTTATTTTATTTTTATGTGGTGCTGAGGATCAAACCCAGTGCCTCGCACATGCCAGGCGAGCGTGCTACCGCTTAAGCCATRTCCCAGCCCTGCAACAATATTCTTTAGTACCACATTTCATGGGCATTTCACTCTCAGCTACACTCATCACATCGGTATCTGAGAACCAGTGATCTTACCCTTCGTTGAATGAGATCAGGTGTGACTCTCTTCCTTCTCTCTTAGCCACCAATCAGTTCTCATCAGCCAACGGAGTGCAGTGCTTGTTGCCAAGGGGTGGACATGGTTCTATTAGTGCAAAGATGGAGCTGCCCTGGGGAAAACAACTGATGTAGTTACTCTTCCTGGGCTCTGTGGTGTAGGCCTAGACTTGGATCCCATTCCCTAGATGGACCACCATCCTCCTCTTAGCTCTGGACAATTATCCAGCCCTGACAGGGGATCCGGGGCTGTCCTTCCTGCTGGGATCCTCTCAGGTTTTGTCATGCAAAGTGGCAGTATCCTGGGAGCTTTTTAGAAATGCCCAGTCTCAGGCCCTACTCCAGACTTACTAAATCAGAATTTTTATAAAATTCCCAACATTCATATGAAAGCATTGGTCTACCTGACACGATCAATTCTTGTTCAGTTTTCCCTTGTATTACTCTGCCCATTAAACATGGTAATAGCCGCCTGTTTATCAGAGCCTCATAGAAATGATGCTTGATTGAAAATATCATGTTTGTGATATAATAAATCCTAATGTTTTCTTCTTACTTCTGATTTGCAGTTGACTGGAATTATCCTAAGAGCAGCCAAGAGGTTCCAAATCAACATTTATGTCAAAAAATTAGATGACTTTATGTAAGTTTTGCTTTTTTCTACAGAAGCAAGAAACTAGTTTTGCTACCTTGACTTTCTGGTGGGGCAGTGTCTAATTGCTCACCCCATTCTTCAGGGAGGGGGAATGATCAGCATTTTCATAGGTGCCAAGGTCTTAGAATTTACTTGTTTTGTTTAATCAAATGATTTCTGTAGATGTTCTAAGTCCTTAGTTTACAGCTTTGTATTATCCTCATTTTACAGATGAGGAAACCAAGGCACAGAGAATTTAAGAAACTTGCTGAAGCTCACACAGCTAGTAAGACTTGTGCATACAACCTGCTTTAACCTACTCCATCGAGCCTTTCCCATCATACACCATGACTCTGGTTGCCATCCCTTCCCTGTTTCTGCTCCCATCTGGGGCCAGCCAAAAGTCTCATTTGGACAGTTAAAAGAGTTTCTTGAGTCCAGGCTTTTCCTCCCATTTTCCACCTTTAAACCACTCCTTAGATAGAATTCTTAAGTATAACCTCCTGCCCAAACTTTCAATGGGACTTTTTTTAGCTATGCGAAAATGCTTATGATAAAATGTTGAATGAAAAACAGGATGCAAAACTATACATACTGTCTTATTCTATTTATCTATCATCTTGCTTTGTTTCCCCCCATTGAATTCACCGGATTTAATCTTAATGTCATGGTTCTTTTTAAGAAGCAAATGGGGTTTGTAAGAATATGCTTTCTCAATCAAGTATGGTGGAGTGTACCTTAGTCCCCGGTAGTTGGGAGGCTAAAGCAGGAAAAGTAAGAAGATTGCTTGAGCCCAAAAGTTCAAGACCAGTGTGGGCAACATAGTGAGACTTTGTCTCAAAAAACAAAAAAACAAAAACAAACCAACAAACAAAAAAACCCTGCATATATGTATTAAAGAGGCAATATAATTTAGTAGCTAAAATCTGGAATACAATTCTGGCTCCACCACCTGCTCTTGGCAATTCTCAGCAAATTATCTTCTCTGAGCTGTAATTTTCTCAGCTGTAAATCTTTATTAATGCCTTCTGCATGTGACTTCCATCAAAAATGGAATCAAATAATGTCCTCAAAACACCCATCACAAAGCTGGCACATGAAAAACATTTAGTTGACTCTTGTTTCAAAGTTAGTACTTAAGTGGCCTAGTTACAAAACTTTCTGAGGAACAGTGGCATTGTTCTATCTGGTATAGTCTTCTTGTGATGATTCTAGGGAGAACAGTGATCATTTTGATGAGTTTAATTTCAGTGATTTGTGTTTTGATAAAATGATGATGATAATAATAATAATAATAAAATGATAATCTAAGTGCAACCCTTGGAGTTGCTAGACTGACACACTGAAATATAACTTATGATTGATATGTTTGCAAACATAACTAAGAAGTCTGCTGTAAATTCCAGTAATTTAATGAAAAACATGTACTGAAATTTTCATATAAACATGTTCTCCAGGTGAAGGTACTATGGTGATGAGGAAAACTATTAAATAATGTCATCATTTGTCTTTGTAGTGAAACAGGAGACATTAGAACCATGGTTTTCCCAGTGATGTATCTCAATGAGGTAAGTTTTGAGAGGGAGGGAGCCACAGGTATGTTTTAACTGTCTAATCTTGGAAAACTTCCATTATAATGTCTTCTATTGTAGCTCTGAATAATTTAAGATATGAAAAAGTGGGGAAAGATACTTGTAGAGGAGCGGGTTCTGGGAATAGCACATGCTAGGCAAGTGCTTTATCACTGAGCTATACCCCCAGCCCCCCCCCTTTTTTTTTTTTTTTTGTATTTTGAGAGAGAGGCTTATTAAATTTCCAGACTGGCATTGAACTTGTGATCCTCCTTCCTCTGAAGTGGGTAGGATTACAGACACGTGCCACCATGCTGGAGGAAAGATGATTTTAAAACTGTTTGTCCTCCGAAAATTTCTCTTAAAAATGTTTACATGGCAATGCCTGTGTCTGGGAGTTTTGGAGAAATGACAGAATTTTTCCTTCTCAGGAACATTAGTTGGGTAAAACTCCCTTCTGGAACTGGTTATGTGAGAAACAAAATGCAGAAGTGAAATGAGGCATTGTCCAGCTCTGCTGAAGCAGAATAGCCAGAGCTCATGTATATGTCTTAAGTCTCTGCCTCCTTCTTTGAAACCCTGTCAGTTTAAGACCCCTGTGATAACTCTCTTTAAAATCACGTATCTGATTTACTGTGATTACATATCTTCATTTCCCCTCTTTCATCTAGTTTTGAAGGGGAAAACATGTAAGTTTTTCTCCTTAAATAAATTTTTGAGCATGGATGGTGGAAGGAGACGCTCATCATTATACAAAATACATGTATGAAGATGTGAATTTGGTGTCAACATACCTTATATACAATCAGAGATATGATAAATTGTGGTATAAAGGTATATTAAGAATTGTAGTGCAAAAAAAATAATTAAAAAAAGAAAATAATAATAGATTATTGATTGGTAAACTTCTATTATTAACAGTTGCATTTTAAAAGTTTTTATTATTTCTCTCCATTTCCTTAAAATACTTGTTATTCATAGAAAATTTAATGAAATTAGTAAGGAAAAGAATTTTTTAAATCACTATACCCACTTAAGGTATCGTTTTTATTTCTCAGTGTTTTCTAAAAATTTTTTCCAGAGACAACTAAACAAAGATTAATATTTTCTATTTAGTAAAACCTGTGCCCTTTGTAGAACTGTTGGGAAATGACAAAAAAAAAAAGTGTACAAAGTAAAGCACTGATAAGCCTTTCAGTCCTTGAGGAGGACAGTTGACATCTTCAGATGTTTGTTGCCTCCAAGTATTTTTCTAGTTTTGATATTATGAGTTATTGAAATAATACCATAGATACAGGTTTGCATCTTTTATTTCTTCATTTAGCATTATGTTGGTGGTCATGTTTATAAATTATGATTACAGTTCTAAGACAAGCCTTATTGTTTCATAGGAAAAATTCAGGCAGTATTTGCCAGTTTAGAGGACCTGGTTGAGATCGCTCCAGGAATTGTCATTGTCATTGTTTGTGGGGAAGGACACAAACATAGAACTTTTTGACAGTACAGACAGATGATTTCCTGCCAGTTTGAGTTCAGAAGAGTGGCATTTTTGAAGTGCTCTCCCCCTAGCTTTTGCTTTGCTTTTTTGTTAAATACCTGATTTAATCCCAAAACATTGAGTAAAAGCTTTTGCTTTTGCTGTCTCCTAGAAGTTCAGTTTTTCTCTTCTCTAGAAAAATGAAATATTAGACCTGGAAATGACCTTGGAGATTCCTGCCCCAACATCTTTTTACCAATAAGGAAATTCTGACCCTGAGGGGTATTGGCCAGTTTTTGAAAGAATCGCCATTCCATCTTATGACTCACTCCAATCCAAATTAAGTCAGAATTGTTGCCTTTAGTTTTTATGGGATTATGGTCTTTAGATACCTCATCCATGACACTAGATGAGAATTCCTCTGCACTGCATGCTGAAAACACTCTGGAATTCTAGTTAGCCCTACAACTTACCTGAACACTTTCTGTTAAGACATCTGGTCCTGATTACTATAGATGAATCAAGAGAGAAATGACACTTTCCATGCACCATTTTTGGAGTGTTTCATTCAYCCATGGAGTCAACCAGGATTAACTGGTCACTTTCTTTGTGCTGGGTGCTATATCCAATGCAGAGGTGACTGAGATGTCTTACATTCACTGACCCTACAGTCACTGGGAGATAAACAGGTAAACCACAGTTATGATGGGGAATGCAGAAACAACAAATGGAGGTTCCATAGGGTGAGGAGGAAGTCTAGAGAACAGGCCTTTTGTCAGGTCTGAGGTGGCCAGAGGTAACTTCTGGAAGGAAGCAATGCTGAGCTAGATTTTGAAGAAATTATCTGATACAAAATACATTATCTCAGCATTTCTGAATTCTTTTTCACTCTTTTATAATTTATGTTAAGAGTAACATATGTTTTCAGGAGAAAAGATATTCATGAATAAATTCCCCCTCTGGTTACTCTAATATATAAATCAATTTTCAGTATATGTGGCTTGCTAACAAAAGGACATAACCAAATTGTGTTCTGTGACTTGAAAGAAAACCATTACTCCTGATTCTTAGTCATCAAGGGAATATTATGTTCTTGCTTCGCAGAGTGTTCTCGTTGATAAAGAGACTGCTAGTCGACTAAAGTCTGTGATTAACACTACTTTGATTATCACCAACATACCCTACATCATCATGGCACTGGGTGTATTCTTTGGTTTGGTCTTTACCTGGCTGGCTTGCCGAGGACAGGGATCCATGGAGGAGGTGAGTACTGATTAAATGAACTTCTTTGTCCCTTACTTGGTTAACTTTCCAGAGGATTCCTCAACTGTGCTTCATTGAAGGGCCATTAGCTGGCTCAGTAGGATGGATTCTGGGGCTTTCCATGTGGGAGCACAATGATTTCCTGGTTACATTACTGATGGACCAAATGGTAAGCAAGGCAGTGTGTCAAAGAAGAGTGTGTCGAGTAAGGCAGGGGGATAGAATGAGGCTTTCTTGGTGGGAATGGAATCCACTCACATTTCTTCTCTTRGACTGCTTCTTCAAGGGCCCCTTAAGAAGCTTCAGACATAACCTTCTCCAGTAGGCCTTTTCTGACCACTTTCACGCCTATACGAGAGAAGCACCCTTCTCTGTGTTAGTCCAGGCCACACTTACTGATCACACTATTAGGCTCTCTTCCTCCATCTTCCTCCACCTACCACCCAACCCCAATTCTTCACATATGGGGCAGTTTCTGACATGAACACCTGACTTCCCTTCTGTCTCTCTTCTGTATCTCAGGGAACAGCAGATGAAAGAGCACCACTCATACGAACCTAACTAAATTTAACCATCACCTGAGCTTGGTGAAGGAACATGTGAACTGTCCTGAAACAGATGAGGGGAAACTCCACATCCTCGTAGACTCCTCGCCTGTTAGGAGAGAGAAGACAGTGCTGGCAAGTGAAGACAGCATGTTGGCCAGAGGTGAAGAGCAGACTGACATGGCTGACCATTATGCTTCATGAAAATCACATGGTTTCTGAAACTGTTTTTTTAATGTGTCTAGCAAGTATTTAATAAACTCTTGTATAGTCATTTTTTGTTGTTGGGTAGCTACAGAATTTTGTGACCAGTTGTAGATATAATGTCTCTGCATCTCTTGTTAATACTACCTGTCAATATGTTTCATTCACCAAATTTTGTGCTCAAAATACGTATATACTACTTTATGTTGTATTCCTCCACTTCACTCCCCAAACAAAAGTAAATAAGAGTTTCGAATACAGGGTAAATGATAACCTTTTCCAGTACATTATTCAAATGCATTTGATTTCCTCTTTAAAACATTACATATTGCATTTCATGTTAGTCTTCAGTTCAAATTCCTCCAGGAAAATAACATGGTCTTCTGGTTACATTCATACTGTGTGGGAATCAAGCAGGGAAGGGATCACGTGAGGTGGTACCCATGAGTGGATAGTGATATGCTCCTAAGGATTTTTCAGTTGTACTTTTGTGAACAAAGAGAATGCATAAGTAAGCTTGGTGAGGATAGCTCCAGATATTTCATGTAGAGTAGAACTAAATGCTAGTTATGATATTTGTAGATAGTTAACTTTACTTTTAGTCAAAATTATCTTGATGTGGAAAGATGCTTCTGGGAGGATGTAATCAGTGATCCCCCACTCAATACTACTGAGTGATTTTTTGGGTAAAATTATGAATATAAAAAATCTACCCATCCATAGCCTAAGTTACACATAAATTTCAGGGAGTCTGTCTGGATTAGAAAGACATTTCTTCTTCAGCAGTCTTCTTGGTAACTTGAAACTTTTTATAAATTCTTTCCTCAGATTCAGTTTCTTCCAGTGTTTTGTGGCTCACTGTCATTCACTGAGTAGAGAAAATGCCCTACATTTCCTGCGACAATCATTTGCTGACAGAATGTCGAGTAAAGTACTACACCTAATGTGCTTTAAAGAAAGGTCCCCTTGGGATGAGAAGTAGAGACAAGTCTCTTCAAAATACTTCTTGGTTTTCAGTGTAACCAAAGGCAGAAGATTGGGAATCATCATTAGTCACAGTGTTCAGGATTCAAGGGTATTTTCTTTGATTCTCAAAGTTCACCATGCATTTTTAATTGAGAAGCCTATACAGTTATCTGGCAAAGTACCTATAGAACTTCCTAACAAATGAATCATTCGAAGGGATTTTTTTGATATTTGTTTAAAACTGAATTTCACTGTAAGCAAATGAAGAAAAAAATCATGGATTTCACTTACATAGTTTCTTAGCCCTACAGGGAAGTAATAAATCACGTTAATTTACATGCCCAAATTTTTCTTCTCTATAGACTAAAGCAATATGTAATGTGTTTCCCTTCTTGAAGGGGCAATTCATTATACACTCAAACGTTTCTATAAATCAACATAAAAACCTTAGATACCCCAAATCATCAAAACATGAAAATTTATATCAAATATATTTGGTCTTCAATAATGCCAAATACCTACATTAAATATTTATCAATATTTAATTATATAATTGGCATATTTTGTTCATCATGTATCTACTTATCCACACTAATGAAACGGATAGGCCAGTATATACTCATTGGTTCTATTCTCAGGATATGAACATCTGTGAGAAGACTTTTAAATACTATAAATGATGTACACATTTAGACTAAATCTCATATAGGCAAGGAGACCAAATATACATTGATTATATTTTTGTGCCATGATTCTTAACAGTGACAACTTAAAACTACATTTGATATTTTCCTTCTGAAAAGTCTGTGGCAAATCCATAAACTATAGTCAAAATTATAGGTTGGTTAAGAAGAATGATTATACCTATTTGATTTTAGGTTGAAAATAGCAAACTATTCCTCTTGCTTATTCCCTTGCAGCCATCATCTTGGAAAGACCCCAAAGGCTTTGTGATTGTCAACATTGCCGTAATCACAGCATGGCACACAGGGAAAACTGGGAGTTGAGCACAGGGCAGGAAATGGCCGTTGCCACTTTTAGCTCCTGGCTCTTCCCATTAGACTTTATTTCATCATGTTCTAGAAAGATCACCAATGGTCAAGTGGAATAAGCACTACACAACTAACCCCTATTGGGGTTTTTACTTAAGGGAGACTAATTTTTAATTTAAATTGCTTGAGACATGAATTCTGCCAAAAATGACCCTCATAGTTGGCCCTCTACTGGAGTAAACTGCTTGTGTCAGAATGTTCTTCATGTATCTTATACAGTTGGTTTATTTCATTTGATTCTTGGCCTGATTTATTTCTACCCTTAATGCAATGAAATATTTCACTAATAAAAAACTTTATATAAAAGTTCACTGAGAATCATATGTCATCTGATGTCCAGTTGTCTATGGAGTTTCTCTTGAAAAATACATCTTAACAGATGCAGCCCTGAGGCACACCCCTTCAGGCTACCCTCAATTGGTCCCATACTCTGATTTTCTGCCTCGGGGGTTTCTCCAGAGCCCTTGGAAGCCCCAAAGGAATGTGGGGAGAGCTAATAATACAAGAGCCACCCTAAATCAAAGAAGGCACAATGAGCTGATCAGTGTTCTAATCCACAGAGGAGCAGTGCCCATGCTTATTCAACATGGCTCCTGAACCAGGACTGGGCACCGTGGGAGTTGCTTTCTATTAGCATTTCCTCATTCTGCCTCACTGGTCCTGTGCCTGAGCTGCTGCTTCCTCTCAAATCATCTATCTGCACTAATATCCTTATCTCAAATCTGCCTTCAGGAACACGAAAGTAAAATGCAGACAAATCCACCCAGAAGTGCTCAGGAGGATAAGAAAGCTACTGGAGAGGTTCTGAAGCTTCTGTTTCTAGGGACATCAGGGCTTTTATTATTCCATAATTCCAATATTAGGAATTATTATTCCTATCATTAGTCCAAAAATTCAGATCATCTTCAAAATTTTTCCCTTCTCAATATTGCAATCTTATTCCTCAAATCAGAGAAGATCCAGATCAGTCATACAGTTCCTTGCTCTGTGTTACAAATGTCCCTGTACATCAAGGACGTGGTCCCTAGCATATGCCTTTCCTAGGAATCCCAAATCCAATTTCAGTTGGTTTGTGTCACAAGGGGAATGCCTTGAACCTATATCATCATCTTTTTTTTTTTTGAGCATCGCACCATTTATTTGTTCTTTCAGTAATTGTTAAGCACCTACTGTGTACCAGATAGTAAGACTCTGTACAGTTTCTCCCCATTTTTCAAAGTAGCTAAATGCCACCAGAGGACAGAAGGGAGGTCCTCAGTAACCCAGGAGTCTTGGCTCTGCCCCTTCGGCTTTGGGCTTTTCCTGCTCCTTCCATCCCTACTTCACTTAGAGGTTGTTACAGGCCCATGAAGAACACAGAAACCAGTCTTCATCCACCACTTCTCCAGCCTAGGGCTTAATCCCTTTGGCTGAGAAGGCAAGGTCTAATATGTTTAGTCTTTTCTCCTTCAGTTTTGGGGTCCAACCAGAAGGCTTTCAGAGAGGATCCTCTAAATCTATATCTTCTTAACCAAAGGTATATAAAGACACATGGAACTTTGTAACATACCAAGCCTAATTATTTCAAATCAAGGAGTAGAAAAATCCAGAAAACATATTCAAAAGGCTAATAGGTATTAAAACATACCCAGGAACAATAATTAAGACAGTATGGTATAAGGTGAAAGGTGTAGAACACAAAAACCAGAAACGTGTACGTGTATCACAAGATGAAAGTTCCATTTCCAGCAATTATATTCTTCCACTTGTTCAACTATTTTTAAACTTTTAAACACCTTGACATAGTTTACACACCATAAAATTTCGCCCTTTTTAAATATACAATAGAATGATCTTTAGTAAACTTACTGAGTTGTACAATTTTAGAAGATTTTCATCATCTCAATAAAATCTCTCATGCCAGTTTACAGTCATTCCCTTTACCCAGTCCCTGGGAACCACTAAGCTGCTTTCTGTTTCTATAGATTTGCCTTTTCCACACATTTAATGTAAACACAATCATACAGTATGTGGTACTAAGGCCTGACTTTTCTACATTATACCTAAAAATGTGCTCAACTAATTTTATTGGGCATCCACTATATGACCAAAAAAGAGACATGAACCTTATAGTCTAGTGGGAAAAATAGTAACCAAACGATCATACAGGTAAATGTAATAATTCAACTAAGTTTCATGCAAAGTAAAGCATCTCAGATAGAAGGAATGAATGTGCCCAAGAGCAGGAAGAAGCATATTTACTCCAAGTGACTTGAGATGTTTGGCTGGAGTTCAGAATGGGAAGCTAAGGCTGTGGAGAAAGGAGGGGCCATGTCATGTTGGGTCACATTGAGCTATATAAAGATTTTGGTATTTTGGCTTATTTTATTTTAAGACCAATGGTAAGTTACTGAAGTATTTTAAACTGGATTGTGAGGAGAAGGTAAGTGAGATAACAGGTTTGTTTAGAAAGACCCATTGTAGCTTCAGGTGAAGAATGAATTAGTAAAGTGGACATGAATGCAGAGAAATGCTAGAAGGCTGTAGTGCCAAGTGGGTCCTTTTGATGTCCCCCCTGATAGGGAAGATAGGTATTCTGTTTTCAGCTGTCATATGCCATCCTTCCTGGTGAATTCCACAAGGCCACATAGCATGGGCTAAGGAAATGGGTTTTATGGGGGAGAAGTTAAAATATACAAGGTGAGGACTGTCAGAATAAAAGAAGGTACAGAATCTCCATCCTCCTGCTAGCCCATGGGGAAGTAAGTTGAGGGTCACAGTGGTCTCTGTAAGGAGAATGTGTCTCCCTGCTCATCCTCCTTCCAATAGGAGAAGCATGAAGAAGCAGTCATAGCAACAGGTGGTTTGAATTTGGACTGCCATTGGTTTACTGTTATTTGGGAATGCCAGTTGTCCCTAGAATGTTACAATCTTGCTGGGGAGATGGCATTGGTTCCATGGGAACCTGAGTTTGGGTGCTCCTTACTAGAAGGGGGTTACTCCAGCCACAGCTAATTCATTTTCCAGGTGACCCAGAATGAACTGCCTGGATCACACTCAGACAGTCCTGCTCACCACTCTACAAGGGCCACTGCAGAAGTCTAGGTTGGGATTATTACTTTTTCTGCAAAGGACCAGATAGAAAATAGTTTTGGTTTTGCCAGCCACATGCTGGCATTAGTTATGCTCTGCCATAACTTATCAATTCTGCTGTTTGCAGCCTGAAAACAGCTATAAACAATTGTGAAAGATGTGCCTGTGTTCCAATAAAGCTGTATTTTACAAAAATAGGCAAAGTTCTGTGCCACAGTCTGGCTGCAGCAAAATAAGGTGGGGGGAGGGTGAGGAACAACTTGTGTACATTGATACAGCAGGAGTGGGAGCTGTTTATTGTAGGACAACAGAGGTATTTATACATTCCACACAGCTTATCTTAATTAACATAAACTAGATACATCAGTCAACCAATAAGGAATCTCCACACTTAATGGCTCACTGGAGTTACTTCACAAACCACTCCCTCTGGCAAAATGCCAGGCGCCATCCTGACTTGTTTACAGACCTTAACAGTTCTGGACTTGGACACTCTATCTTAGGCTCCCATGAGGGGTCTCGGTTCTCTTCTTAAAAATGGTGCACAGGCCTGGGGATGTAGCTCAGTTGGTGGAGTGCTTGCCTTGTATGTGCATGTACAAAGCACTGGGTTCAATCCCAGCACCACAAAACAAAACAAAACAAAAGGTACACAACTGAAACCTCCCTCCCTTCATACTCTCTCCCTAATAATAGCATTTATTTCCCTGCTTTCAATTATAATCTACACATGAATCTCTCTGCTTGATCTCAACCCCTCAAATCCAAACACCTGTTGGATATCCCCAGTCACCTTGTCCTCAAGTCAGTAAGTAAAGAAAACTCATTTTCCAAAATGTGAAATGGCATCACAATCTGTCTTGTTGTTCAAGCCAGAAACCAGAGATTCCTGATAGACACTTTCCCTCCCCTTTACATTGCATCAACCAATCATTTTTCAGTCTTCATCCTCACCTGCATATCATGGCTTTCACTAGGAATCTGGCAATAATGACTGTTAGCATATTAATATTATTAATTTTTAAATAAGTAACCTTTTTACATTTTCAAAAAGTGAAAAGTCTTCCTTTACTACTATCTCCTAGYCACCCAATTCATTATCCCAGATACAACCAATATTGTTTTTTTAAAAAAGTATATCTTCCAGCAATATTTTGAATATGTATATTTATATTTTCTAGCTCTCTCTTTTTTAAACCCAAATTGTGGCATACTATAGTTGTTCTGAATTGTTTTGTACCTGTATGTGTGAGATTTATCTTTTGAGAGCTTTCTTATTAATGCATAAAGAGCTTTTCTTTTTGTTCCAAGTCTATGGTTGAATAATACCCCTTTGTAAAAAATGTCAACAATTGATTTAGCCAAATCCCTGTTTCCAATCATTTATCATTAAAGTAATACAATATTGAATAACCTTTTGCCAAGTCATTTATAAGGTAAATTCCTAGCAGTAGCAATGGACATTCGTTAAGTTTTTGATAGATACATGGGCTTTTATGTTTTTATTTTTATTAAAATTATCCATACAAGCACATACAGAATTCTACAAAGTATGGTATTAAAAAAAAAAAAAAAAAAAAAACCACACAGTGGTACCTCTTTTAGTCTCTCTTTTTTAAAATTTAGCCCCTTGACTCTAGATAGCATCTGCTTTGTATATTTTCAGGTTTATTTATTTATTTTAAAATTGAAAATTTTACTATTACCCGGACTCCTATCTATGAAGGATGAAGACTGGCTCTTTCCTACCATTTTCCCTATACCCCCATATTTTTTTCTATTTCCCCCATCTTTCCAGTAGGGAGTTGGGTGATAAYTTTGGCTAGATCATAATTACTGGGATTATGTGGGAACTCTCCACAAGTAAGCCATGTCATTACCTTTTATTATTTTTCCTTTCTGAGATATTGTCTCTTTTCTCTACTTTCAAATTTGTTCTGTCTAAATATCTTTATAATTTAAAAAAAATTGGGTTTTGGAGGCAAGAAACCTGAGTTCAAAATTAGGCTCCAAAACTTACCAGCAAGGTGATTTGGGGTAGCTTGGGTAATCTGCTTAGTAACTGAACCTCAATCCAAAAGGGCTTAACAACAGACTCTTCTGTAGGTTATTGGGAGGACTAATAGGGGCACAGATGTCAGCAGTTACAAGGCTCACTGGCTTCAGCAGGGCCCATTCTATTCTTCTCAGTGCTCACCTTTCTGTTTATGGGTCAAGAGTACAACCTCCCCGGTACCTGTTACTTCCACCATAAAATAGGAATAATCGTCAACTGTATCCTTAGACAGTTAAGGATTAAAATAGTGTAAAATGATAAGCAGACTGCCTGGCACATGGTACACACAACGTGTTGCCACTACACAATTATCTTTCAGTTCTTCCGACATGCCTCCTCTTTCTGCCTCTGCTTCTCCAACTCAGCTTTCAGGACTGGGTTCCAACATCACTTCCTCAGGGAGCCTTCCCCAGATCCCAGGCCCTCTTTTTAGTGGGTCAGCATCATGTACTCTCCAGCACGTACTCATCCCAAGCGGCCGACCGCCCATCTCTACAGTAACAATTTCGGCCCCTGCAGAACTTTTCCAAAGAACCCCGCTATGGCAATTTCTAAGGGCGCTCAGGAGGGCTGCACATCCTGGCGAGCTCTCCAGCATTTTCCTGAGTTGTGACGCTCCACGCCACGTGAAGCCACGAAACACCCCACCCCCGGAAACGAGCGGGTCCTGGGCGTTCCCTTTCGACTCTCCACCCACTACGCCCAGGGTCTGTTCCCGCCTCTTCGGCTAGGCCCGAAAGGGGCGGAACGCGGTAGTACGGCTGGTGGTTTCTCTTCCGGACGGAAAAGAGGAGCGTACTGAGCGTCGCGTCGCGGGAGCAGCTCTTTGCTCTGGTTTGGTTCCCGGCTCCCGCGACATGGCCTTCAATTTTGGGGCTCCCTCGGGCACCTCGGGCACCGCTGCAGCCACCGCGGCACCCGCGGGTAAGTTATCCCCCGGACCTTCTCGGAACTGGGGAAGCTTTTGGTCCATCCCCCGGGTCCGAGACGCGGGCTTGGAGATCGTGGGTCTCCCGACCGCGCAAAACACTTTAGGGGGGCAATGGAAGAGGGTGGGCGGCCGCAGGTCGGGTGGAGGCGGTTCCTGAGGAGGCCGCTGGGGTACTCGAGGCCCTATCTGGATCTCGCGCCCTGCGCTTGGGTCCCCGGGGGCTCCATCCTCCCGCGGATTGCTTCCCGCCCATGAGGAGTTCTACTCGTAGAGGTTGGAGACCGCTCCGATCTCCTCGTACCCGACACCCCCAGCTCCTCTCCGCATCAGCCTCCCGGCCAGGCGGGAATACACACTGATTCTGGCGAGTATAAGGTTGGGGAGCCCCGTGCTGCCCGGAGACTCCTTCTTCCTAGCCCTGGGGCGGAGTGGGGGGCGGTGCCTAAGCCCTTAGTGGTCTTCGCCGAGGGAATTCACGCTCCTGCTCCTTCCCTCTGTGTCCCCATTTCCTCTGCTTTCTCAACCTATTTGAAGCGAAGTAGGTTTGTTCACTTCTGTGAAATCCCTTGCTGAATCTTGTAATCCTTATCTTACTTTCTTTTCTTTTTCTTCTTCTTCCCCTTCCCCCTTTTAAATTTTTGTTTCTTTGCCTGCACGCCTATCAGGATTTGGTGGGCTTGAGACTGCCAACTCCACCGCCAGTGGGTTTAATTTTGGGGGTTTCGGATTAACTGCTAATCCTGCAGTGAACTTTAATATTGGGAATTTCGGTGTTTCTACTACCTCGGCGACTCCGTTCAATTTTGGTAACAGTCTGGCAAGTGCAGGTAGATAACTGCGGGTCATAAACGAGTGTTGGGAGCTGGAGTCCAAGAATATTTCGTGGTTTCCAGAGTTTGGGAAAGAACAGTGACTTGTCTAATAAGGGAAGGAAATTTATTTCTTAATGAAAATCGAAAATAAAACATTTTTATCAAGTTGTGACTGTCTTAAATTATGTGGGTTTTGGAAGGCCTTGCAAGTTATAATGTTCCCTTGTTAAATCTGCATTTCATTGAACGAATAAAATAAGAATTTGGAATGAATTTTTATATCTTCCAAATTATTAGATATGTCTTTCAAATTGTAAGCTCACCAGACAGGCTGATTTTCCTGGAATTCTTGGACTCCTGCAGTCATTTTTCATTTTTTTTTTTTTGCATTTTTCATTGGGATATCATTTTATTGTTCTTGTGTTTCCAAGAGAAACAGTCTTATACGAACAGCAGTAAGTCTTGTTTTATAACCCTTTTAAAATAATGTACTTCTTTGGTCAACTCATCAGATTAGGATATATTTCTATAAGACATATAATTATAGGAAAAATTATCCACATCTTTACTGGATTTTTAGGAAATTCTCAGAGAAATTTAACTTATTAGATAACATTTTGAGTTTTAAAAGGTGGACGAGGTGTCTTTGCATTCAAAAAGATAATTATGAAGATTGTTTATGGATTGTTTGAAGCTCATCAAAATTTTTTCAAGACAAACAATAATATATGTCTGAATTTAAAATAGATTTATGTATACTTTACATACAGTGATACCATAGAAAAATCTTGTTTTTCAGCTGCTCGTATATGAATTTTTCATCCATTATGCCTTTTATGCCCATGCCAATTATATGCATTTTTTAAACTTTCTTTACTTCTTAAAACATGCTTGGAAAGTTATGTATTTTTGTTCATTCACTTGTTATTGAAATAAGACTATTACCTTAGCATCTGAAAACAGTTTGAGAAATAGTTTAAATTCCAAAGATAAAATAACCTGTTATCATTAAGATATATTTGAAGTGGACACTAATTACTGTCCTTTGGTATGTTTACTTTCCCGATTGCTTAAAATTGGCACTGGGTAAAACAAACCTTAATTTGAAGTTTGTGTTTCCAAGTAAAGCCACCCAGCTCATAATTCAACAACAATAAATAAACCTGTTGGTATTCGCTTGATTTAATGTTGATTTGGAGTTATCATGGTTAATTTTGAGTTTTGATAATAAAATGATGTTTCAGTGCCTTTCATATGTTGACTAATTTAGTTTTCAGCAAAGGACTGGTAGAAACTCTTTTTACTTTCTTATTTTGTGTCCATGCAGATCCACTAATTCAATAAAACATTTTTGGTATTGTGGAACATGATAAGTCACTAACTTGTGTTTTCAGTGTGTAGGCAATTCAGATTATATCATAAGTTATTCTGTGGAAGTGAGGAGTAATGAAAAGATTAAGAACAGTGTTTAATACTTTAAGGTTTTTTTATCATTTAGTTTGCAGTATATGGCAATAAACCTCCAAGTTAATAGAATATTTAGTTGTGTCTATACATGCAAAACACAGTCTACTCTGAGTAAATTTCCAAATCAGAATTAAATGGTGATATCAAATTGCTTTTTCTTCTTATATCTTTTATTTTGCAATACTGATGAATCAGTTTTATTACAAGAACATGAGATTAAAGTTAGCTCAGAAAACCTGTGTTATAACTCGGTATTAATATTTCAAATATATACTTTAAAAGTTTTTTTGCCGTCACATTGATAATCAGCTAAAAACTGGCAATAAGTAAAAACGAAATGATTTTAGATTGGCTCCTATTCCATTCCATTCATATGTTGTTAGATATGGTTAAGGTTAATTTTGTTATTAGACTGCCTAAAGTAGAAATTTGTTGGAGTTTCCACATTGTAGTTCAGAGACTGGTGCTAGCTCTGCTCATCTTCCCTGCCACTGCTTCCATTTGTGTTTTTTCCCCTTATTTCTTCCATTAAGAAACACATTCTTATATAGTAGTATGTTTCCTTTGAAAAGTTGCTTAGTCTTGACATGGACTTAAATAGAAATATAAGATAATGTAGATATAAATTAATTCGCCAATTTCAGTCTCTCTCTTTTTTTTTCTTTTTTGTGAGACTGGGTCTTGCTGTGTTATCCAAACTGGGCTCTAACTTGTAATCCTCCAGTCTCAACCTCCCACAACACTATTTTTTAAAACATTTGAAATTGAATTAAGATTTAGAAATCTATAAATGAAGGCAGGGGTAGTTGTCTAGCATGATTAAGGCCCTGGGTTTGAGCCCCAGCAACACACACATACACAAAACCAAAAACTGTAAATTCTGTGTAGAAAATTCAGATTTTCTAACTCTTGGGGGGAAATGGGAATAGTATTATGATCTACTAAACTACCATTCTTTTGCAACAATAATCTGCTGGAATTTAGGAACTGCTGTCATTTTAAAAAACTTCATTTTAAACAGTTCAGAAAACATCTGGTCTACTTTACTCATTAATTTTATTGGTCTAAATCTTACAGACATTTGAATTTGCAATCCTACTCTAAAAGTACATGTAAGAGCCCGGTGCGGTTGCATACACCTGTAATCCCAGCAGCTCAAGAGGCTGAGGCAGGAAGATCGTGAGTTCAAAGCCAGCCTCAGCAGCAGGAAGGTGCTGAGCAACTCAGTGAGATCCTGTCCCCAAATAAAATACAAAATAGGGCTGGGGATGTGGCTCAGTGGTGGAGTGACCCTGAATTCAACTCCCGCTACCAAAAAACAAAAAAGGTACATGTAAGAGCCAGGCATGATGGCTCATACCTGTAATCTCAGCTACTCAGGAGGTTGAGGCAGGAGGATCTTGAGTTTGAGACTAGCCTGGTCAACATAGTGAGATCACATCTCAAAGTAATAATAACTATAATAATTAATAATGAAAATGCGTAATAATCATTTTAGAGTTATGGCAGTAGGCTTATATGTTTTCTCAGCTGTGAAAGAATCACCTCTTTAGGTGGAAGATATTATATGTGATATTTCTATTTAAAATATTTAGCTGCTATTTCTTGTTATATATTGACTTATTGATTAGTAGTATAGTTTTAAAAAATTAATGTTGAAAGTAGAGGAAGGAAAATTTAGATCAATATATTTTGACTTTATGTGTAGCAATTACTTATGATATAATTTGAAAAAATGCCTTTATATGTAGAAAAGAATCTTTCTTTCTATTTTTATCCTTTTTTAATTAGGTGGGTTTGGAGGATTTGGTACAACATCTACAACTGCAGGTTCTGCGTTCAGCTTTTCTGCCCCAACTAACACAGGCACTACTGGTAAGAAACCATCGGAAGTCATTGTTAAAGTAAATGTGGTAGAGGACAACTTTTTTTTTTTTTTTAACCTACGCAATTCCAATTTTTATTTCTTCATTCAAAGGACTCTTTGGTGGTACTCAGAACAAAGGTTTTGGATTTGGTACTGGTTTTGGCACAACAACAGGAACTAGTACTGGTTTAGGTACTGGTTTGGGAACTGGACTGGGATTTGGAGGATTTAACACACAGCAGCAGCAACAGCAGCAAAATAGTAAGTATAAGGTTTTCATCTTCAACTATAAAGCCATAACAATAATAGCTAACATTATTGAATATATCATTTAAAATGCTTTAGTGAATTATCTTCTTTTTTTTTTTTTTTGAAGAATTATAAACATTCCAAGGAGTCCAAAAGCTACTTTTTATGTTTGTATGATAGCAACTGTGGAGAAAACTGATGGACATGATTAGGATCATAAGGTCCCTTGTATAGGATCATTTCATTAAATTCTTTTTGTTAAAAATAATACAGAAAACTACTCAAGAGTTCAGCTTACTGAAGTGTGCATAAGATGAACGCTGGAGAGATGACCCTGGCTACCCACTTCAGAAGTCCACCACCTTTTTTGTTCATAGTCAGAGGAACTATAGTCCTCTTTTATTATCATTTTCTTTTCTCATGTGTGTAATAGTATTGATTGCCTGTGTTAAATCTCTGTATGTTCTCCTTTTATTGCTCGCTCTTATTTTTCAGTTTGTTGAAGACATCAGATTATTTGTCTTAGGTTTTTGTTTAGAAATTTATTGGTTGCATTTTTTTATTGGTGCATTATAATTATACATAATAGTGGGATTCATTATGCCATATTCATACTTGTTTATAACATAATTTGATCAATCTCATTCCCCTGATTGCATTCTTGTAGTATGGTTTAACACGTCCTCTATATTTCTTAGTAGTTGAGTTGGATCCAGGGGCTTTTTTATATTGATAGTTTAGATTTTTGTTTATAAGACTATTTCTTAGGTRGTGTATTCATCATCAGAAGGGCATGTAATATCTGATTGTTTCTTTGTGTATGATGTTAGCAGCCATTGGTGATCATTACCTAGATCCATTAATTCAGTAGGGGTAAGAAACAGTGCTATTTCACCTTGATTTCTCTTCCATTTGTTTGTTGGAGTTATCTATAAAGCAAAACTTTATCTCATCTATTTGGTTGATTCTTTCCTTTTATTACTCTTTTCAGAATTGATTCCCTAACATTCTTCAAAGTTGACTATTTTTTGGTCAGGGACTCAAGCATTTTTTAATCCAATGCAGTTATTCTTATTGATGTTTAAATATTTCCATCTTTGACCTTTGCACACCTCTTAGGTTAGCTCCCAAGTCTGTTTGATATAATCTCTTTAACTGGCTTAGACTGCATGGTCTTACATATCAGTGACTCTTGTCAGTATGCTAAATTCCCTTAGCAATGTTTCCCATTCGCCTAGCGGGGGAAAAGTCCAAGCCTGTGTATTTGTCCAACCAAATAGTGCTTGAGAAAAAAAATCACACAGAAGATTGTATAACCTCTATAAATTCTGTATCACCAATCTCAGTTGGGACCTCAGCATTGCTTGGTAATCAGACAAATTTTCTATTTTTAACTTATTCTCTCACTTTCTATGGTAGTTATTTTGGACCTTTATTTTCCTAAAAATCTCAAATTTCTCTGTTCTCAGTTTAGCAGATGGCCTTGACCCCCCCAATTCAAAGAATAGATGGAATCCTTCATTGCAGTTCCTTCAACTTTCCCCACTTTTAAATCTCTTTCTCCATCTGTAAGCAGTTTTTTCTTCTTATACCTGTGCTGTGCATCTCTTAATGCCTATCTTTGAGAGGGGCCTTTGTGCTGTTGATTCTTCTAGCTACATTAGCTACGTTCCCCAACCCTTAAAAAGTCTTCAACTTTTCTTTAGCTGTGTCCTTTTTATCGAAAACAACCTGAAGTTGTTTTTTTCCTCTTCAAAACAATAATAACAATTGTAAACCAACAAAAAAACACACTTTCACATTTCACTTCAACTATCACTCTTCTCCCTTTCACAAACTACTTGAAATGATTGTTAGAGTACACCCTCTAGTGCTCTTTCCTTTTAGCCCACACTAATCTAGTTTCTGTTTACTCTGTCAAATAGTTAAGGTCAGTTATTATTTCAGTGAATCCAGTGAACATTTACTGTTTTTTATATATCTGCAACCTGGAGTCATCAAGTCAGAATATGCTACATTTGTTTTTATCTAGCTCCTTTCCCCCTTTTTTAAAAATTGGAATACTTTAAAGCAAATTCTAAACACATCATTTCACCCTTTATTTAATGTTTCTCTCTTTAAAAACGTGGACATCCAGGGCGCAGTGGCACACACTTTTAATCCCAGCAGTTTGAGAGGCTGAGGCAGGAGGATCGTGAGTTTAAAGCTAGTTTCAGCCATATTAAGGTGCTAAGCAACTCAATGAGACCCTGTCCCTAAATAAAATATAAAATAGGGCTGGGGATGTGGCTCAATGGTCAAGTGTCCCTGATGAGTTCAATCCCTGATACAAAAAAAAAAATAAAAAACAACCATGAATATCATTCCAACCCATGGTAATTCCTTGTTATTATCTAATACCTGGTCCATAATCAAATTTCCTCATATGTCCCAAAATGTTTTATTCATTTGTTGTTTTTTGTAGTTATAGGTGGATTCAATACTTTTATTTTTATGTGCTGCTGAGGATCAAACCAAGTGCCTCACGTGTGCTAGGTGAGCACTCTACCATTGAGCCACAACCCCAGCTTCTCATTTGGTTTTTCTAATCCTAATAAGGTCCACACATTAATTTTCTTGTTATGTCTTCTCTTTAAGGTTTTTAGTATACAGAATTTCCTACTTTCTTGTTCTCCTTCTCAGGAACTGTTGCAGAAATTGGGCCAGTTGTCCTGTGAAATGTCCCCCATTCTGGATTTTTTTAATGGTTATTTCTTTGTATTATTTAGCTTCATCCTTCATAATTCTGATAAATGAAGTTAACTTTAGAGACTTGCTTAGATTCAGGTTAGACTCGTGGGCAAGAATCCTGGCAGTGGTGTTATGTACTTCATATTACATCACACTGGGAGGCTATCCAGCTTTCACTAATGCTAAAATTGATTAGTGGGTTCATGTGGTAGTAGCTGATCTCTTTATAAAGTTCCTCATCAGCCTTTAATCTGATGGCTTCATTCATTGGTGATCATTGCCTTAGAGTTATTTTATGAGAAACTACAAAATGTTAATTTTCTAATTTCCTTCTTCCTCACTGAAATTCTCTATAAAATGAATTTTTTCTTCATTTCCCCAAGCCTACTTGATCACCCTGATACAAAGTTTATATGGGAAAGACAGGAAAAATTCTAACAGACAAATTTTTGTAAGGAGTTAGTGGCCTCATTTCCAGTAGTGTCCAGTGAGTTGGAATTTTTTAGATTTTTGATCTTTTTAAAATTATCATTTGAAAGTGGGGACTTTAATAAATATATTTCAGTTAGTTGCATTCATTATTAGTATTATTATTTTTGGTGCCTGGGGTTGAACCCACTGAGCCACATCCCCAGCCCATTTTTGTATCTTAGAGTCTCGCTGAGTTGCTTAGGGCCTTGCTAAGTTGCTGAGGCTGTCTTTGAATTTGTAATTTTCCTGCCTTAGCCTCCCAAGCTGCTGGGATTACAGGAGAGTGCTACTGTACCCGGCTCATTATTATTCTTGATGCTCACTTACCTTGTCACGTTTCTAGGAAATGGGAGTACTTCATTGATACTCTCATTCTATTTTTATCCCTGCCACATCTTTCAGTACTCTTTAAAATTTTTGCCAGTTTCTTCTTCCCCAGAGATTTTGCACATTCTGTTTATCTATACTATTACCTCATGGCCTAGCTGACAAGTTCCAATTAGACAGATTTCTCTTGACTCCCTTTCTCAGGCTTTATTTACTCCCTTACTTAGTACTCATAGCCTTTGTTCTTCTCTGAGAAACTTATCACAGTTGTTATGATATGCTCAATTTGTTTAAAAGATATCATCTGTCTTATTTACCATTGTATCCTTAGTATATAGCTCTATCTGACACATTTGTTGCATGAAGGTATGGTAAACACACACACACATATGCACTGTATGTAGCCAGACCTGGTGGCACACACCTGTAATCATAGCTGCTTGGGAAGCTAAGACGGGAAGATCTCAAGTTCAAGGCTAGCCTGGGCAACTTAGTAAATAAAGTAAAAAGGTACTGGGGCTAGGTGTGGTAGTCCATAATCCCAGCAGCTCAGGATGCTGAGTTAGGAGGATTGCAAGTTCAAATCCAGCCTTAATAAAAGGAAGGCACTAATCAACTTGGTGAGATGTCTCTAAATAAAATACAGAATAGGGCTGGGGATGTGGCTCAGTGGTGGAGTGCCCCTGAGTTCAATCCCCAGTACCAAAAAAAAAGGTGCTAGGGATGTAGCTCAGTGGAAGGTTCTACTAGGGTTCAATCCTCAGTACCACAAAAAAAAAAAAAAAAAATATATATATATATATATAAAAATAATAAAGAAATACATACATACACATGTGCACTTACACATAGACCAGGAGAGACAATATTGTTAAGAACTCTAAATGACCATAACATGTTCAGCCTCCCAAAATGGCTGTGCACTCTATGTAGGTATGATATGACAAAATACATTCTACTCTTACATATAACTAAAAAGAACAAATTAAAAAAAATTCTAAAGGTGTGGTATGTTCAATGAAAAAGATTTTCTTTGGGTAGCTAAAGAAATAATGGCAAAAGGACTCTGACAAGGTAGGAAGATATAAGAAATCTGATACGTTAAGGCTTGAAGAGAGTCTATTGGATTTTGTAATTTGAGTTCATTAATGTCTTCTAGCTTGTGAATTTTGAGTAGACTAGTGTGACTGTAATCCAGTGTGAAATGTAAAAGGAGAGGCAGAATATAAATCAGTAAAGATCTTCTCTCATTGAAAAATTGAAGAAGGAGTTGGGGTTGGGGCTTAGTGGTAGAGCGCTTGCCTAGCTTGTGTGAGGTATTGGGCTTGATTCTCAGCATAAATTAATAAAATAAATGTTCATTAACATGTTAAAAWTTTTTTTTTTAAAGTTGAGGAAGAAAAACCTTGGAATTTCTTACTCAATGCTAAAAAGTAAGCTTATAATAAGCCAGGATTCATGTTTTGATTTCCAGTCCATTTCTTTCCAATTTTTATGTACCCGTTTGGGTACTAATAATACTCTTCTGGATGGTAGGTAACAGGAGCACCTCTCTATCTCTGTAGAAGACCTACAAACCTTGGTGATACTTTTCATTCTTTAGAGCTGAGAGAGAACTTAAATGTCAGATATAGTGTTCTAAAACTCAGGTCATTTTGGTAATGTCTTCATGTTTGTTTTTTTTCTTATCTACATATCCTTTTAAGAAGTTTTCTTAAATCTATTTCCTCTTTAACATCATGTAGTTAAAATTTTAAGGAAGATCTATATTGCTGATATAAATGGAAAGCAAACCTGTATAATTTGCTATAAAGAAAATAGAACCAGCCAAGCACAGTGGTACCAGCTGCTTAAGAGGCTGAGGCAGGAGTGTTACTTGAGCCTACCAAAGCCCAACTTGGGCTGTAATACTGCAACCTCATCTCAAAAATTAAGAGGAAAAAAAAGATGATCAAAATTAAGTACAAAGAAAATATATTATTAATAAGCTAGATAAACTTAGACTTTTTCTTTCCTTTGTTTGCAACAACCTGAGACTTTTGATATAATCAGATCATCAAAAGGTAACTTTTTTGTTATGTGAATTAATGCCATGTAGTAGTAACTCAGCTCTTGCTTGACAGCTTTCTTTGTTATTTTGGCCGGGGGCGGGGGGTGGGGGATGTCTTTTTTTAGTCTTTTCTTTTTTGGAACTAGGGATTGAACCTAGGGCTTTGTGAATGAATGCGTCCCAGCCCAAGCTTGACAGCTTTCTTAACTCATACTTTGGGAATAGTTTTCTGCTCTATCAACTTTGCCATTGTTACATTGGAGAAATTGTAGCCCAGAGACTTGCTCCAAGTTACACAGTTATCTAAAGCTTTATCCTGGCATCCTGATGCCGACTATGTTAGTCTTTTCACTACATATTAAATCAGTGATATAATGATTTTTAGAATTATTTTATATTATTTATATTATAGAAACATTTTATATTATAGAAATTTATATTATTGAAATACATTAGCAATATTGTTTTTTTAAAATCCTGTAACTTCAAAAACTTTACTTTTTCATATTCATATGGGTGTTTTTGGGGGGGGGTCCAGTTTTAGTGATGGAATTAATTGTATTAAGCTATCGTCATTAGAAAAAGCAAGTTTAGTATTTAAGACTTGTTTTGTGTCCCTTTGTCTTATTTTCCTATACTGCCATAACAAATTACCAGGGTGGCTTATGACAACAGAAATTTATTACTTTACAGTTCTAAAGATAAGAAATCCAGGAATGGGTTTCACTGTGTTAAAGTGATGGCAGATCTGTGATAAATTCTGGAGGCTCTCAGGGAGAATTCAGTCCCTTACCTTTTCCAGCTCCTAGAATCTCCCTACACTTCATGGTTTGTGGTTCCTTCCTCCATCTTCAAAGTCAGCAGCATAGCGTCTTCCAATCTTACTTTTGACTCTGAGCTCCTTTTTCTATCTCAAAGGACAATTATGATTATACTGAACCCATCCTGATAATCCCAGGGTAATCTCCATATTGCAGTACACCTAACTTAATTATATCTATAAAGTCCCTTTTGCCATGTAAGATAACACATATATAGGGTCTGTAGATTAGGATAAGGACATCTTGGGGGAGGGGCATTATTCTGCCTATCCCATCTAAGGATTTGAATTGGGTTTTGTTGTTGTTGTTTGTTTGTTTTTAGCATTAGGTGGTCTCTTCAGTCAGCCTGCCCAAGCTCCTACCCAGTCCAACCAGCTGATAAATACTGCAAGTGCTCTTTCTGCTCCGACACTATTGGGAGATGAAAGAGATGCTATTTTGGCAAAATGGAATCAACTGCAGGCATTTTGGGGAACAGGAAAAGGATATTTCAATAATAATATTCCACCAGTGGAATTCACACAAGAAAATCCCTTTTGCCGATTTAAGGTATTAATTCTGTTTCTGCTCTTTATTTTAAAAAGAATACATTCGAAAGAACATGATTTTTGGATTAAAATTATATCAAGAAAACAGTTGCTTGTTTCTTTAGTACTCCTTGAACATGGTATGATAATACTTTTAAAAATATAGAAATTATAAAATCAGAATGTTTTCTTTTATGGCTCAGAGGGATCAGAATATGGCTAAAGATAATGTATCACTAGAATGTGACTTATAACTTAAGGGAAAATGGTCTGCCTTGCACACCTGTAAAGGGGAGACTCAAAATTAGACATTAGTTGTATTCATATAACATTGGTAAGTAAACTGCAACCTGGCCAGTGGACAGTTGTCCTTGGCACGTGTAACCCTATTGCCATTTTCTTTGTTCTAATTTCTTGTCTACCACGCAACCATCTCATTTTTAAATATTTTTTTAATTAGTTACACATGACAATACAATGATCTTTACATATCATGCATTTGAATCAGATGGGATATAATTTCTCATTTTTCTGAGTGTACAGGTTGCAGAATTACATTGGTCATGCAGTCACGTATATAACCAAAGCAATAATAATATCTATTTTATTCTGCTGTCCTTCTTTCCCCCCTTTCCCTCGCCTCTCCTTTCATCACTTTTCTCTACCCAATCTAATGTGACCCACTTCTTTTTTTTCCCCCCCTCACATCTTCATACCTGTATTCTGTATAATGAAGGGGATTTCCTTCCCTCTTCCATGCAATTCCCATTTTTCCTCCCTTTCCCTCCCACCTCTCTTCCCTATCTAAAGGTAATTTTCTTCTCATGCTCTTCCTCCCTACCCCATTTTGAGTCACCTCCCTTATATCAGAGAAGACATTCGGTATTTGTTTTTTGGGGATTGGTTAACTTCACTTAGCATAATTTGCCACCATTTCCCTGCAAATGCCATGATCTTGTTATTTTTTAGTCCATTGTGTATAAATGCCACTTTTTTTTATCCATTCATCCATTGAAGGGCATCTAGGTTGGCTCCATAGTCCAGCTATTGGGAATTGTGCTGCTATAAACATTGATGTGGCTGTGTCCCTATAGTATGCCATTTTTAGGTCTTTTGAGTATAGTCCGAGAAGAAGAATAGCTGGGTCAAATGGTGGTTCCATTCCCAGTTTTCCAAGGAATCTCCACACTGCTTTCCAAATTGGCTGCACCAATTTGCAGTCCCACCAGCAATGTATGAGTTTACCTTTTTCCACACATCCTTGATAGCACATGTTGTTGTTTGACTTCATAATGGCTGCCATTCTTACTGGAGTGAGATGGTATCTTAGAGTAGTTTTAATTTGCATTTCTCTGATTGCTATCGATGTAACCATCTCATTTGAATTTGACTTCATATATTTATTCATCAGTGAAAGAGAGTATGTAGGTCTACTTAGCAGTGTATTTTCCATAAAAAGTTAATGTATTTTAGTCAGTTTTATATTTCAACCTGTGTTTGTTTGTGTATGTGTGTGTGTGTTGCTAGGGATGGTACCTAGGGCCTTTTGCATGCTAGGCAAATGTCCTACCACTTAGCTGTATACACACACAAGCCTTGTACTTAAGCCTTTTCTGAGTTATGTTGACCTGTGTCAGTCCCTTAACCTTAACCAGTAGTCTTGGGTTTGGAGCTACAAGGGTGAGGATCAGATGCTTGAACAGAGTGAAACAAAAAGTGGTCAGCCTGTTTTTGTTAGAGTACATATCTTAGTCTCATCACTCTAACAAAAAAGTACACATTTGGGATCAAAGGCATTTCAGATTGCACATCTGAATAAGAATATTTGCATATGCATAATGAGACTCACCTTGGGGGTAGGACCCAATCTAAATGTGAAATTCATATATGTATTATATAGTTTTATGCACAACCTGAAGCACGTTGCTGTTTTGACTGCAACCCATCACATGAGAGCAGGTGTGAAAGTTTCCACTGAGCCATCATATCAAAACAATTTCAGAATTTGAAGCACTTTGGATTTCAATTACTCAACCTATATATTTTTTGAGTAAATTAGTTGAAATTTTAATCCTTTTGTTTAGTGATAAGAAATGCAATAGTAGATATAAGTTGAATATAATGATTTAAACTTTTTCTTTTTTCAAAATTTGAAGTATACTTGATAACAAGATAAAGAGCAATATTTTAGCCTGGGCCTGGGTAATGGTTCAGTGGTAGAGTGCTTGCCTAGCACATGTGAGGCACTGGGTTCAATCCTTAGCATTGAATACAAAATAAATAAATTGACTAAATAAAGGCATTCTGTCCATTTACAACTATAAAAAAAACCAAAAAACAAAGAACACCCAAAACTAACATGTTTAATAAAAGTTTTGTTACATGAAACCATAAAATGATAGACATTTTTTTAGTGATTTTTAACCTGACAGTTTCATTATTGTACATTAAAAGTATTTATTTGTAAATCATTTCCTTATCTAGAACTTTAAGATTCTATGAATCAGGTATATTGTGAAATAAATTCAGTTGGCCTGTGATTTTTGCATTAATGTTTATAATGACATGCAAAGTAGTTTGATTGGTTCTAAATATTCAACAATAATGAATATCAAACTTTTTTCTGAGTAAAAGCTCTTCAGTTACTATTTTAAGGAGCAGATTTTAATTTCACCCTATTTATATTATTCTTGGGTAATATAGTTAAACACTTGACTTAAGATATGTACATATTTTTATATTATTTATTTTGTCATTTCGCAGGCAGTAGGTTATAGTTGTATGCCCAATAATAAAGATGAAGATGGGCTAGTGGTTTTAGTTTTCAACAAAAAGGAAACAGATATTCGAAGCCAACAACAGCAATTGGTAGAATCACTGCACAAAATTTTGGGAGGAAACCAGACCTTAACTGTAAATGTAGAGGGTATTAAAACATTGCCAGATGATCAGTAAGTATATATAAAATATACTATTTATTTTTATGTGCCCTGGTCCAGAGAGTAGTCAGCAGAGTTTTTTTGTTGTTGTTGAAACACAGATTATATCTTAGAACAGAATGTTATTTCCCAGCTGGTGGTTATTTAGTATTTGTAGAAATGTTTGTTTAAAAGCTTTTTTTTTTAAATTTTGGATTTCTTATTAGATGCTAATAATTTCATAGACTTTCATTCAAGACCAGGAGGAAGTATTTTATCACAGTTATACAAACTGAATGCCACATGATATTACTAGAAGGTTTAATTAACTTATTACCATTCATGTTCATTCATGACTAATTGTGATTACTTCCCTTGTCCTCATATGATTTTTAGTCTTAGTGGCAAGGCATTTTACTTTAGGATTTTAAGGTTGAATTTTACTTCTTGCTATCAGTAATGCAGAAAAGTAACCCATAAGTTTCAGCAGAATCTTCAAAGTATTTCTTAGTTCTGGAAAAAATATCAGATAACATTTATGTAGGACTTGCAGCTGACCAAACCTTTTCACAAATTTGATCTTGTTGACCTGCATTTTAACTTTTATCATTTAAATTGGTTGACGACTGAATTTGAGGGCTTATTCTCCAAGATTTGAGGGGAAAAAAAATTCTGAATTCATCTAGCACCCTTCTAAAATCATACGTTGTATTGATATTTGTGGCTGTGGGTTATATGTACTCAATCTTTTATAAGTTGGGTTTTTTCCCTACAGGACAGAAGTTGTCATTTATGTTGTTGAACGTTCTCCAAATGGTACATCAAGAAGAGTTCCAGCTACAACATTATATGCACATTTTGAACAAGCTAATATAAAAACACAATTGCAGCAACTTGGTGTAACACTTTCTATGACTAGAACAGAACTATCTCCTGCACAGATTAAACAGATTTTACAGAATCCTCCTGCTGGTATGTTTCTAGAGTTATACAATTGAAAAAAATGAAAGATTTAGAAATAAGTGTTCCCCTTTTAGGAGATGTTGGTTGGTTATTAATGTTAATCAGTATGAGCTTATCACATGTCTACTTATTTGTGAGATCGTTTTGAATATTTGCATTCATTCATTCATGTAACTTTATTATATAGCTAATATATTTGTTAGAAATATTGAGAAATTATCAACTAAAGAAAAAGAATACATAATTCATCTACCCTCTTATATTATTTTGATTTCCTATAGCTTATCTCTTAAGCTGAATATTCAAATAAAACCTGAATTTTTTTCCACCGTAAGAAATTCTAGATGGCCTAACTATGTTGACTAGTTCTCCTTTATTTCCCTTCCCTAGAAGTAACTATTAATTCTTTATCTGTGATTTTAAATGTAAGCATACGTACTTGTAGTTTCTTTAAAAAGGGATTTTGCACTGTACATTTGCTGTAGCTTGCCTTTTCACCTACAGTCTTCCTTAGTACTTTTCATGTCAGTACATGAAGGTAAATTTTATTCTATTTAAACACCTACATAGTATTTTACACATATGTGTTGCTGTTTAATTCGAGTGTTGTTTCTGAGTTTTCAGTTTTATAAACTGTTTCCTTGTAGATATGTCTAGAGTACATGGGTATGTACTTTTTTAGAATGGATCTCTGGAAATGAAATTGGAGTAAATATTATATATGTTAGATATATACGTTTCATATTGCCAAATTGCCCTCTAAAAAAACCCCACCATTTAAATTTCTTGTTTTTTAGGGGGCTACTGGGGATTGAATTCAGGGACATTYGACCACTCAGCTACATCCCCAGCCTGATTTTGTATTTTATTTAGAGACAGAGTCTCACTGAGTTGCTTCGCACTGAGTTGCTGAGGCTGGCTTTCAACCTGCGATCCTTCTTTCTCAGACTTCGAGCTTCTGGGATTGTAGACATGTGCCACCACACCTGGCTCCATTGGAATTCTTAACAGCAATATTTTTTGCTGCTGCTGTTTTGCTACAGATGGCAATAAATTAATTTAAAAATTAATATTTATTTTAATCTGCATTTTCCTGATTACTAGCAAAGTTGAATTAGCTAAATATTTGCATTTTTTGTGAATTACCTATTTATGTCCTTGGTCCATTTTCTATTAGGGTCTGTCTCTGTCATTATAGGAGCTCTTAACTGTATTCTGAAGGTTAATCTATTATTCTGTAGGTTTTAGATATTTCCTTTCAACCTGTATTTTTTGTTTTAGCTTTGTCCTATAGAACTTTCTACTTTTAGAATGATCGTATTTGACAATCATTTTTCATTATAGCTTCTGAGTCTATCTTTGGGGAAAATCTTTCCCATACACATATTTTAAACACAGAAAAGTGTTTAAAAAATATTTTTTCTTTGTGGTAGGTGTTGATCCTATTATTTGGGAACAAGCCAAGGTGGATAACCCTGATTCTGAAAAGTAAGTATATCTTCAAGCTAATATTTACTACTATGGAAGCAAACAGATGTAAGCTAAGCTCTTAATTGTATTTCTAACATTTGAGGAGTCTATTTTCATTGCTTTAAAAAAAAATGTTTGGGGAGACCCATAGTGTGGTGAAAACTACTAGAGATGAAGAAATCTGAGTGCTGTTTCCCCAATTAACATTGAGTTTCATTATAATTTTTGACAACTATATTTCCTCATTATTTCCTCATTTGTAAAATAGGGAGGAACACTTGATTTCATATTGATCCATCTAGAAATTTGATGTAAAATTATATATTACTATGAAAATCTTATATATTTTGTAGTAACAGACTTAAGATCAGATAATTGACTACTTGCATTTCTTCAGGTTAATTCCTGTACCAATGGTGGGTTTCAAAGAGCTGCTTCGAAGATTGAAGGTTCAAGATCAGATGACTAAGCAGCATCAGACCAGATTAGATGTAAGCAACTTGCTTTTTATTCTCTGGTTCTGGTAGTAGGTAGAGGGACTAGAGACATTTAATTATTTTATCATGGGTGCCATTTTTCTCTTATGGGGAATCAGTATACTGCACATTAACAATTATAGCTTTATACAACTACCTTCTTTATAATAGGGTTCTTAATATCATATAAATATGATTTGATATATTTCAAAAATATTGATTTTCTTTTTTGGTACTCAAAATATTTTCTAATTTCCTTTGAGAATATTGATTGTTTTTGATTAGTGAATTATTTAAAAATATTTTTCATTTCCAAGTGTTGGAGGTTTTTCGGGGATTGAACTCAGGGGCAGTAGACCACTGAGCCACATCCCCAGCCCTATTTTTTATTTTATTTAGAGACAGGTCTCACTGAGTTGCTTAGCGCCATTGCTGCTGGCTTTGAACTCGTGATCCTCCTGCCTCAAGCTCCCCAGCTACTGGGATTACAGTTGTGTGCCACCATGCCCAGCCCATACATCTTAATATTACAAGTAATTTCTAGTTTTTCATCTATTATCTCTGCTTTGATGTCCTTTGTGGAATAGAAATCCTTAATTTTATTGTAATTAAATTGGGGTGTTTTTGATTTTCCTTTTTTGTCCTTAGAAATTTTTTAAACCATTCTTTACCCTAGGATCTAAGAGTCACCTACATTTTTTTCTAACATTTAGAGTTTGATCTTTCACATTTGCCTCTTTGCCCTCAGTGGAGTTCACCTCTTTACATGTTATGTGACTTGAACTTTTTTCCTGAATGGTGGGTCTATTTTTCAAATATCCATAAAAAATTTGATTTACCCATTTAACTAAGAATTTGAATTATTATATGTATATATATATGATCTAATTCTAGATCTATTATGTTTCAGGGTCCAGTTGGTCTGTTCTCACAAGAGTTTTTTACTTTTGTGGCTTTGCAACACATACTAAAAGCTAGTAGATTGAATTTCCAGTTTTTGTTCTTCTCAGGGTTTTCTTGGCTCTCTATGGACCTTTATTTTTTCATAAAGATACTGGAATCGGTTCTTCAAAATGCCAGAATTTTGAAATTGCATTAAATGTAAAGACTAATTAGTAAAGAATTGAATCCTAATGCTAAATCACTCCATACATGAATATAATTTTTCTCTTTAATCACTGATGTCTTTTATGTCCTTCATAATTATTTTAATATATTCTTTTTAAAAATCTTGCATGCTCCTTTTTGGTTAATTCCTGGATGGTCAATAAATACTGCAGATGGTAACATGGTTACCTAGTTTTGTCTCTTTATAATGGCCTGGCATTTATTTCCTTCAAAGGTGATATGCACAGATGGACTTGTTAAAATATGTTATACAATCTTCTTATCCTCTTTCCTATGTCTATGTTAGCTAGTGACATAGAATGACTCATTATGATGGGAGAGTTATGGGATTAAATCCAGTTGGAATGCTTTAGTGATATGGAGAGATTTTTAACCTAGTTTGTTAAGATTTTGTAAGGCAGAAAGTAGGATTTTAAGCCAGCAAAGAATAAATTAAAGATCCAGTCTCATAAAAATGTATTCAGTTGTAGAATTCATATTTCTTTTCCTCTCCAATCTGATTACTCCAAATATTCTGTAAACAGTTGTATTGGGCTATACTATATTTTATGGCAATAGATTGAGGTGATTAAGCCTACCCCTACCCTCTGCCCCTTTTTACTATACAATGCCCAAATATCCTAGTGCTCTGAAGAATTCTTTTAATAGTAACTTATGATTTTTAGATACATAAGAAGGAAAAACTGCAAATGCATAATTAAAGGGAAAGAATTTTATATTTTGAGAGATAAATTTCAAGTTTATTTCAGATTTAGGCTTTGCTTATAGGCATACCTGATAAATAATTGTAATACCCATACCTAACTTATATAAAAGGCATTTTTTCCCCACAGATTATATCTGAAGATATTAGTGAGCTACAAAAGAATCAAACTACAACTATGGCCAAAATTGCACAATACAAGAGGAAACTCATGGATCTTTCCCATAGAACCTTACAGGTAGTAATTTGGAATTTTTCCCCCAACATTTACAAGATGATACATGTGAATTACGTGCTGAATATAGGAAAAAAGAGACTCAGAAGAAATAATGATCCAATCTGTAAGTACCAAACTTAGTAAAACCTAGACATTGGAGGAGAAGTCTTACAGGGTTGGGTAAGGAGAGTAAAACTCTAAAGTTCACATCTTAGTAACAGAGTAAAGGAAAACCATGAAGAAATAAAGCATTTTAGTATGAGGAAAGCATATATGAAATCACTGATATCTAGTCTTCATAAAGTAGAAAATACTTCTTATTTTTGAATGCCAGAAAAGGGAGTGTAACCACTAATGGTTGAAAAAAACAATAGAACTTCCAAATTAACAAGAGAAAATTAAAAATGAACAACAACAAMAAAAAAAAACACCCTGAAATTATAAACTATCATGAAAACAAATATTACATACCAGAATCAATGGGATGCAGCAAAAACTGTCCTCAAGAGGAAAATGTATAGGCTTAAAAAAAAAAAAAACTTCATTTCTAAAAATCAAATGAAAGAAAATAAACTCATGTTGTAGCATGTTAAAGTACTTCATTTTCTTTTATTGCTGAGTAATACTTCATCATATGAATGTTCTGCATTTTTATTCACTCATCATTTGATGTACACTTTGGTTGTTTTCACCTTTTGGCTATTGTGAATAATGTTGTCATTAATATTTGTGTACATTTTATTAGATGTATGCTTCCATTTTTTTGGGTATAAATCTAGGAGTGAAATTTCTGGGTCATATGGTTAATACTGCATTTAATTGTTTGTGAAATTGCCAAACTGTTTTTCAAAGCAGCTGTAGCATTTTACATCTCTATTTTTAGCACCTTAAAAAAAAATCTATGAACAGATATTTCTAATAAAAAATGCAAATTATGTTTAGTGAAAAAAAGACTTACTGGCTATATAAAAGGCATGATTTCATTTATATGACATTATGCAAAAATGGGACAGTGCTGCTAGAGGCTGGAGATGAGAACTTTGGGGGATGATGGAGATAGTTTATACATACTTTTGTGGGTTGTATGGGGGATTACCCTAGGGCCTTATACATACTAAGCATGAATTTTACCGTTTAGCTRTACTCCAAACACCTTTTTTATTTATTTATTTTTTTGCAAGTTTTTTTGTTTATTGTTGTTGTTTTTTAATAAAGAAGGATAAGTGTTTGAAACTAGCTTCTAGAGGGATAAAAAATAATGATGGGCTTCCTTTATCAGATTTATAACTTACTTTAAACTTCTTGTACTTTTTGGGTATCTTTTTTTTCTTTTCATTCTCTCATGCTTTTTTGTGGCAGGTGGGAGGCTCTGCAGTGCTAGTGATCAGACTCAGGTCATCATAATTTTGGTGGTGGTTACATGACTGTATATATTTGTCAAAATTAACTAGAGACCTATAGAACTCTACACCTAAGTGGGTGAATTTTTTTGTATGTGGATTATWCCTCAGTGAATTAGGACCAGAAAACCCCAGAAATTCTAAATGAAGAAATGACAGTCTTTCAATATRACAGTGTTCTAACACATTAAAGGAAAATATATAATAGACTATATTCAAAAATAGCAAATATTTCAAAAGGCAAAACATAAAAATGGATATTCAGAACCTAGACCCTGAGATACCCAATCTTATCATTATTAATCACTGTTATCATGGAGGTTTTAAAAAATATAATAAGCAATAAACTAAATATCAATACTGGACAGGAGATCAAACAATCAGTTTGCTGATGACATTATTTAGAAAACTCAGGACAATTTATCATAGAATTAGTGTAATCTGGCTAGATATAAAGTGTAAAAATTAGCTTTTCTTATATCATCATGAAAACAGGAAAATACAACATTTGTTATGACAAAACTATAAAATACTTAGGAATAAATTTATGGGGAAAGTACATAATTTGAGGTCTTTACAAATAGAAAAAAACATATTTTTAGATGAAAAGACTTCATAAAGTTTAAAAAGGAATTAAATATTTTAAAAAATTGATTAAAATGGTTTTTTTTTTTTTTAAATAAAGAAGGATAAGTGTTTGAAGCTAGCTTCTAGGACAATATAAAAGAAAAAATGAAGAGGACCTTCCTTTATAAGTAAGGTTTAAGAACCTACTTTAAAACTCTTGTGGTCAGGCTGGGGATGTGACTTAAGCGGTAACGCACTTGCCTGGCATGYGCAGGGTGCTGGGTTCGATCCTCAGCACCACATAAAAATAAAATAAAGATGTTGTGTCCACCGAAAACTGAAAAATAAATATTAAAAAAAATTCTCTCTCTCTCTCTCTTCTCTCTCTCCTCTCTCTCTCTCTCTCAAAAAAAAAAAAAAAAAAAACCTCTTGTGGTCAAATCAATGTTAAATTGACAATAGGATTAGACATAAAGATCTCTGGAATAGAATCAAAAAATATAAGTAGATGCAAGTATATCTGTATGCTTGACATATGACAGAAGTGGTAGCTCAATTCAGTGAGATTGTTTAGTAAACAATGCTATAATAACTGTGAAAAAATAAAATGTAGACCACTGCATCATACTATATACAAAAGTAGATTAAAGACACAACTCTTAAAAAAAAACTCCTGAGGCTGCATGTACAACTTCAAGGATTAGAGAGACACTTGGTCAAAAACTGTAAAACGGATACTACATAAGAATTAGAAAACATTATGGCAAAATATACCAGAAGCCATGTGTCAGTAGTTGTGGAAATTTTGCAAAAAGCATTTATTTTATCTTTAGTGTTAATATATGTATTATACAAAAGAGATTCTATAATTTGACAAGAAAACCTAATTGAAATGTGGGCAAAAATATTTGTAAAGGCATGTCACAGAAAAACAAATACAAAGTTACTTCTTAACCAGAGATGCTCCTCTAGCTTACTAGAAGTCAGGGATTTGCAAATTAAAGAAAAAATTTTATATTCATCAGATCAGAAAATTTTAACCACCACTACCAGTGGCTGGCAGGAATGTGGGGTAACGATAACTCTGACAAGTAGTTTGTGAATCTACACTGTTAGAATTTTTGGAGAAAGCCGTCTGAGCAGCTTCTATTATAACTGAAAACATACTTTTAAGCCCAGCAATCTCATTCTTGGGGGTCTACAAAGATCTTTACACAAAAATATGTAGTAAAGCATTGGTCATAGAATCATAACTAGAAATAAATATGTGCCTATCAAGATAATAATGATTGATTATTGGTTATTACTCATGAAAAGGCATGAAGCTGTTAAAAATAACAAATTAGAGCCACACCTCTTAAGGATTTTAGTATGATTATAATTGAGTTAACTTTGTGGGGGAAAAAAAGGATTAGGAGTATGGATGAAAGTTTGAAGGAACTTGCAGTTTTGACACTGTGTATCTTGGGATTGGGAGTAAGAGCAGAGCAAGTCTGCCTTTAGTGGTCTCAGCACTTATTCCCTATGTACTATTAAGTTCGCTTAAAGAAAGAAGCACGACACAGAATAACAAACAGTATAGTTGTATTTTAGAAACATGTATGTGCATGTATGTTTTGTATGTGTGAACGAAAGTATAGGGGAATGAACTTTAGTCAGGGCTGTTTCTCTTGAGAGAATGAGAGAAAATTTGCCAAAATTCTTGTATGGTTTCTAGACAGGCAAATACTGCTTTTTAAATCTGAAGCAGAAGTCCAATAAAATTTTTAAAAACTTAAAATTATTATAAGCTCACATTTTTATATAAAGAACACTTGATTCTGAAAGGCTATAAAGGTGTAAAACTGTGAGGTGCATAGAGACCCTACATCTTGGGGGCAAATCTTTACCCCTCACACATCCAACAGAGCACTAATCTCTAGGGTATATAAAGAACTCAAAAAGCTAAGCACCAAAAAAATAAATAACCCAATCAATAAATGGGCCAAGGACCTGAACAGACACTTCTCAGAAGATGATATACAGTCAATCACCAAATGTATGAAAAAATGTTCATCATCACTAGCAATTAGTGAAATGCATATCAAAACCACTCTTAAGATTTCATTTCACTCCAGTCAGAATGGCAGCTATTATGAAGACAGACAATAATAAGTGTTGGTGAGGATGTGGCGAAAAAGGTACACTCATTCACTGCTGGTGGGACTGCAAATTGGTACAGCTAATACGGAAAGAAGTATGGAGATTTCTTGAAAATTGGGAATGGAACCACCATTTGACCCAGCTATCCCTCGCCTTGGTCTATACCCAAAGGACTTAAAAACAGCATACTACACGGACACAACCACATCAGTGTTTATAGCAGCACAATTCATAATAGTTAAACTCTTGGAACCAACCTAGATGCACTTCAACAGATGAATGGATTAAAAAATATGGCATGTATATACAATGGAATATTATTCAGCAATAAAAAAAGAATGAAATCATGGTATTTGCAGGTAAATAGATGGAGTTAGAGAAGATAATGCTAAGTGAAGTTAGCCAATCCCAAAAAAACAAATGCTGAATGTTTTGAAATAAGGAGGCTGATTCATAGTGAGGTAGGGAGAGAGGGAGCCTGGGAGGAATAGACAAACTCTAGATAGGGCAGAGGCGTGGGGGGGGGGTATGGGGTTATTAATAATGGTAGAATGTGTTGATCATTATTATCCAAAGTACAGGTATGAAGACACAATTGGTGTGAATATACTTTGTATACAAACAGAGAGATAAAAAATTGTGCTCTGTAAGAATTATAATGCATTCCGCTGTCATATATAAATTTTTAAAACAGTGTTTTACAAAAAGAACTGTTGTACTCCTTCTACCAGCACTTCTACATAATACCACAGAAATGTGAGTCAGCTCTTGAACTGTTAAGCCCAGCTTTATTGTTAGTTTTCAGCTAATTTCTGTCAACAGCTAGTAAAATTACTTGCATAACTGAAAAAAGTTCTGTTAGTATTGATGATTTCTTTTTAATAGGTCCTAATCAAACAGGAAATTCAAAGGAAAAGTGGTTATGCCATCCAAGCTGATGAAGAGCAACTGCGGGTTCAGCTAGATACAATTCAGTGTGAACTGAATGCACCTACTCAGTTCAAAGTAAGCATTTCTACAACATAAAGCTAGAATTTATTTCAGGTGGATTTGCAGACAAGTTTTGAGGAGTTTTCAAACAATAACTTTGCATTTTTTTAACATTCTTTAATTAAAAAACTCTAAATTGAACTTAGTCATGATTTTTGGCTTGTGTTAGTGCTTCAAATAATGTACAGAGCAAGAATTGGAAATTTTTTTTTTTAAGAGAGAGTGAGAGGAGAGAGAGAGAATTTTTTTAATATTTATTTTTTAGTTCTCGGCGGACACAACATCTTTGTTGGTATGTGGTGCTGAGGATCGAACCTGGGTCGCATGCATGCCTGGCGAGCACGCTACCACTTGAGCCACATCCCCAGCCCGGAAATTTTTAATTGATAATTTTGAAACTCTCCTTTCAAAAGGTTCTCTTTTTGAAATGGTTGCTGTTGTTAGCAGTTGTATTTTGACCCATTCTTACTCTTAGGGCCGACTAAATGAACTGATGTCCCAAATCAGAATGCAAAATCATTTTGGAGCAGTCAAATCTGAAGAAAGATATTATATAGATGCAGATCTATTGCGAGAAATTAAGCAGGTAAGTGTTATACAAAGATGTACTTTTTAAAAAGTGTCAGCTTACCACTTCACATGCATTAGGATGGCTATTATCCAAAAATAATAATAATGTATTTGCAATGATGTGGAGAAGTTGGAACCTTTGAACTGTTAAGGAAAGTGGAGCCTATGGAAAACAGTGTGGTAGGGCCTCAAAATGTTATAAACAGAATTACTAGGTGATCTGGCAGTTCCACTCTAGATGACCCAAGGAAATTGAAAGCAGGTATTTGAACAGATATATATCCATGTATATACACACACAATGTGCTATTTCTTCCTAAGAAGAAGAAAATTCTTACACATGCCATAACATTGATAGACCTTGAAGATGTTATCCTAAGTGACATAAGCCAGCCATAAAAGGACTAATTTTGTATGACTCCACCTACATGAGGTACCTAAAATAGTCCAGTTAATAGAGAATAATGGTGGTTGCCAGGGGATGAGAAGAGGGGGGAATGGAGAGTACTATTTAATTGGCACAGAATTTCAGTTTGGGAAGATGAAAAGTTCTAGAGATAGATGGTGGTGATTACTGCCCAACAGTGTCAATGTACTTAATACCCCTGATTTGGGCTTAACAGTTCAAATGATAAATTTTATTTTCTATTTTACCACAATAAAAAATAAGTGAATCATGCCCATCACCATCTCCTCTGAGCATATAAAGGGTGAATTTAGAGGTAATAGAAGCCCTAAAGTTACCTAGACCTTACTACTCAAAGTGTAGGTGGCAGGAGCACCTGGAAGATCATTAGAAATGCAAAATCTCAGTCTTTATTCTAAATCTACTCAGCTTGCATTTTACCAAGGTCATAGGGAGATGAGTGTGCATGTTAAATTGAAGAGCAACTATTGGAGATCATACCTTCTCAATCTGTATGCCACATACAAGTATATAGAGTTAAGGGACCTATGCAGAGGTTGGGGTAGCCAGAATCTTCAACCATGTGTCTAAGGCTCACTTTAAATGAAAAAAAGATTTTTTTACTATAGCTTATTTTCATACAAATTTATTTAATGAAAGCTATTCAAATATTGATTGTGCATAAATAAAATATTAAACGAGGTATAGTGTCTCATGCCTGTAATCCCAGCAACTTGGGAGGCTAAGGCAGAAGGGATCACAGGGTTGAGGCCAGCTTTAGCAATTTTAGCAAGACCCTGTCTCAAAATAAATTTAAAAATAAAAAAAGGACGGGGGTGTAACTCAGTGTTGAAGAGTGCTTCTGGAATCAGTCCCTAGCAACAGCAGCAGCAACAATGACATATATATATATTATACCCCCCCCACACACACACATAAGTACCTATATGTATGTGTGCATATATATATATATATATTATGTATATATTTATGTGTGTATGTATACACATATTTATTTGTTGTTTGTATAAAAGATGGTAATTTAGTGAAACACTAGGTGTACTGCCATGAACTTGAGGATTTTAGATATGTCATTAACAAAGCAAATCTAGTGCTTTGTGGAAATGTAAAATAATACATATACTTTTGATTATTATGTGCTTCTCTTTTTAAAGTAAATATAGCTTTAAGGGGTAAATCTTTTGAAGGTTATTTTTAAAAAGAGTTGTGAGGTGACTATTAGCACATTATAGTACAGAGCCATATTAAAGAGTCTGTACATGCAGTAATATTGGAAATCATATAAACAGCCATCTTTCTAAAATGTTTTGGAATTGAACCACAACTTGCCCTCTACTTTATTGCCTTGGGCAAATGACTTATCTACGTCTTTAAAGTAAAAATGACCCTGATACTCCAAAGGGTGCTCAAGGATTTTAAATGAATAAGCAAGTTAATTTCAGTGAGGCTATTAAACAGTATGTTAGTATATGGGAAGGACTCCTAAAATGTTATCAACTATATTCATCATCACCCTTACCATCATTACATATACTTTGTACTTCAAAACATGAAAATTGTTTTTAAAATGTTTACTTTTCTAGTCATCTGTATTCATCTGTATTTAAGTACCTTCAACTTAATTTTGTTTTAATATCATACTTTTGTTTTTAATTTAAAAATATATCTGTTAAAGAAGCTGCTCATATTTTATCTTTCTTGAGAGTATACTTTTACTGTGGGTTATGTAAAAGTTTTATTAGTAAAAGATGTAAAAATGTTTATGCTTGCCTGTTTTATTTAGAGCAGTTACTACGTACTGTATTATTGCTAGTACAATACTAAAATTTCTTATATGAGTAGCTTGCAATTTAGCAGAATAATACATTAATGTGTTCTATTTTATTCTAGCATTTGAAACAACAACAGGAAGGCCTTAGTCACTTGATTAGCATCATAAAAGATGATCTAGAAGACATTAAATTGGTAGAACATGGATTGAATGAAGCCATCCATGTCAGAGGTGGTGTCTTTAGTTGACAGTTCACAAACTTGTGTTGGTGGTTGGTGAAATACATCCTCTCAACTTACTTCATCAGGCCTTCCTTAAGAGAATGAAACTGACCACGTGGAAAAAAAAGAAAATGATCCTCTCCTGGCTTGGGTTTTACCGACAAATCTGAAATAAAATAGCCACCTCACAACTCTTTAAAGATAACCTTCAAAAAATTTACCTCTAAAAGCTATATTTACTTTAAAAAGAGAAGTACATAATAACCAAAAGTATATGTATTATTTTACATTTCCACAACAGCATTTTCTTAACTATAATCAGTGTTTAATGATTATTCTTCATTCAGCTTTCCATAGCAAGTAAATATATGTCTACTTTGCACATAATTACTGAGCTGTTGGATATTTGTACTTCAGAGAGTAAATGTACATCAGTTTTTATATTTGTGAATTCATCTGTGGGAGGAGTAGAGAAAAATCCAAAAGTATTTAATCGTTAATGTGGTTTTCTTTTTTGTTCTATAAAGATTTGAAAATATATTTTTATATTACTTTACTTGTTTGGAATTTACAGAACACACCTAAGCAATTAGGATATAACACAATTACCATTTTTGCAAATTTTTTGTTTTTTAAATCTTTTTATTTCTAAAAAAGATGAAAACTTTTAAATAAATTCTTTATTTGTAATTTTAGATAATTCTGTCTGTGCTTTCTTTATTTGGCTTTTGGGGAAAGACCATTAATGTCCACTCAAATCCTAAATTCATAAGTATAATCAATCCAGGAGTTTTAGTCTTAAGATATCATCTAGGATAAGAATTCCCTGTGATAGCATTATTATGTGAAAACAGATAATCTGAGTTAGACAACATAATGTTTCTTTAACAACCCAATTTTTTTTTTTTTTGTATTTCTGACTGCAGTCTATAAATACCTGGGCTGCATATTGTTGTCACCTCTTAAAATGCTATAACTTTATATTACTATGTGATGCTTTGGCTTATATTAAGAGGTGTTACAAGAAATTATCTCATAAGTCTTCCTATTGTATTTATGGGGAAGGTGAGAGATGGGATGCTGAGACCTCACTGAAGGAATTCTCTGTTAGTACTGCAGACTAGGAGTTGCATAAGACGACTAGGAACTTTTAAACAGATTGTTCTTTCCAAGTTAACTGCTATACTCACTTTTGACAGTTTAGGGCATGCAAAATTTGTTATATTCACTAAGCCACATAATCTAGTGGGCACATCACTAACCATGTATGCCGTGCTCATTTTCATGTTCTAGTACTATTAGGTTCTTGGTTCCACAAGATAAATACACCTAGATAGAAGTCAGGGTCTGCCTTTTAAAGACAAGCCAGTCATCCTAGGCCCCACTGGGAACATATGCGTAAGGCACATGTAGTACTACAGGTGTGTTCCTATTAAATGATAACCAAGTGCTGTAGACTAAATCTGTTTCCGTAAAGTTCATAATTAAATTCTAATACCCAGTATGAGAGTCCTTGAATGTGGGGCCTCTGGGAGGTGATCAGGTCAGGAGGGTAGAGTCTTCAATCAATGGAATTAGTGTCCTACCTCTCCTGTTCGAGCATTCTGCTATGTGAGACCCAGCAAGAAGACAGCTCTTCTGCAAGAAACAAAAAGGGCCCTTACAGGAAGCAAATCTGCCAGCACCTTGATCTTGGACTTCCTAGCCTCCAAAACTGAGAAATAAATTTCTGTTACAAACTATCCAGTCTACAGTATTGCATTATCATAGCAGCCTAAACACATTAAGATGTTAAGTTCTAAATTTTGGGTGAGTAGGAGGAAGAATCACATTAGCCTGACTACTAAGTTGTATTCTATAAGTCAGTTTACCAGAAGTAGATGGTTCTTTTAATTTTGAATGAGGGCTACTTAGCTTGTACAAGACTCTGGGTTCAATACCCACCAACACATACACTGCTTTTTAAACTTGTACAGTTGGGTTCCTGTTGGCTTTTGCATTCCATCCTGGGATCCCAGGCCTCTTAAATGAGTTTACAATTTATGTAATTGAGGTTTAAATCTTTGTGTTGCAAAGTTCTGTGGATTTTGCCAAATGTGTCATATCACGTATCCATCAATGCCACGTCATATAGAATATTTTCACTGTCCAGAAAAAAATCTCCAATGTTTGCCCTGTTCAGCCTCCTCCTATCCCACCCCTGGCAGCCATGATCTAGTTACCCTCTCTATAATTTTTCCTCTTCCAGTTCTGGGGATTGAACCCAAGGGTACTTAACCACTGAGTCTCATTTCTAGCCCTTTTTATTTTTATTCCTTATTCCTTTTATTACTCTTTCTGAATCCTTATCATCTAGTTCAGATTTGAAAGTGACCTTAAATCTGTTTTGAAACACTGACAAAGGCAGAGCACAGTGGTATGCACTAGTGTGCAAATCCTAGCAATTCTGGAGGTAGAGGCCCTAGAAGTATTGCTGGTTCAAAAGCCAGCCTCAGCAACTTAGCAGGATTCTGTCTCAAAAAGAGGGCTGGAGATGTGACTCAGTGGTTGAGCACTCCTGAGTTCAATCCCTGGTACTATGAAAAAAAAAAAAATCAACAAAGTATAAACCAGTCTTGGCTTGGCTACCAATATCCACTGCTAAATTAGTCACTATTCAACTGCCACAGTACTATATAACTTCTTTTTTCCTTTTTTGATATATTCACTACCCTGTCAACCTTCCTAGATTAACATGAGATTCAAGTTAAGAGACTGAAATGTTTTGTAAACTGTCAGTTTTTATAAAGACAACGATATTCATATGTACTAAGGGAGGATGAAGAGATTGTCAAAAGTCTTCCTACAAAGAGATGAGAATATCTTTTAAAACTGATTCAGGTATTAAATTTATGTTAAATCACTAACAATAGTGATGGACAATTTAATAGTTGGCAATTCTACAGAAATAATATCTACTAATATTAAAGTCTTTTATTGAATCCAATCAAAAGTACAGTTTTGTTTTTAAAAATAAGATTAATATAGAAATAAAAGAAAAGTTAATTCTGTGACATTATATCTGGACCAACTTTCTGAATTGCAAAACAAATAACAAATATACAGTTCTCATTTTATAAATGGCTTTGGCCAACAAGTGAAAAATACATCATTCCTTTTGATCTCCTATAGGATCCCTGTAGTGTATTTCAAGTAAAGAATAAGAAAGATAAAGACTGTATCAAACTATGGAGCAACAAAAAGATTTACAGCAGAAGCACTGATTAAAATGATGAATGTCCCAAATGGTGGAAGAAGCCTTTTGCCAGAGGATGCAGAAGGATTGGTTTCGGGACCTGGAACAGGACCTGGAACAGGAGCTGGAGCTGGACCTGGACCTGGATCTGGACCTGGAGCTGGAGCTGTTAAAGGGAACACACAGTCACTGACACATCATTTTTTGGTATCAAATATCATCATCTATACCATATATCCTGAATATGTAAATGCTATAAGTTAGAAGCTTATTGAAATGCTTCTACTCGGGAACAATTTTCAAATAAATGTAGTTCTTAACAAATTTCAGGTTATATGAAATTTCAGGTTATGGGGATGGGAGAGAGGAATATAACCTGAAATTTGTTAAGAACTACATTTATATATATATATATATATATATACACACATATATACACACACACACACACACACACACACACACACACACACATAGATCATCAGGTCATGCTGCTCTGGGTTTTATCTAAGGTTTCACAGGATTTAAAAGCCAAGATAATTTTTTAAGTTCTCTTGAATTTCTTAGAAATTTTTGTTTCTATTTTCTGTAATTCGTGCAAAGTAAAGACTGTCTCTTCTATTTCAAACAAGACAACACATTTCACATGCATATGCAAACCGCTTCCAGATAATAGCTTCCTTTTAAAGCATTGATTCTGCAAGCTGACAGAAAATAGTTTTTCCTCTACATATACATGGCTATAGAGAAAACTGCTTTCCTTGCATCTGAATTCTTATAGAGAATCAGTGGACTCCATCTACAGGATAATCCGTTTTATGCTGCTCTAAACTCAGATAATGGATTTAAGGTATGTTTTTCTTTAAACAGACTGTACAGGGAAAGATTATCCCAAATGGGATAACCAGACTTCATAAGTGAAACCAAGAAAAAGAATTTTATAAAAGCCTTCATGTCACAGGGCSTGGTGGTGCATGCCTGTAATCCCAGCGGCTCAGGAGGCTGGGACAGGAGGATCCTGAGTTCAAAGCCAGCCTCAGCAAAAGCGAAGCACTAAGCTACTCAATGAGACCCTGTCTCTAAATAAAATACAAAAACAGGGCTGATGTGGCTCAGTGGTCAAGTGCCCCTGAGTCAATCCCCAGTACCCCCCTCAAAAAAAGCCTTCATGTCAATTTATTTGCCATAGTTATAAACATGCAGTTGTATGAGTAGAGACAGGGAAATAGGATAAACTCATGCATTAGTATGTCATCATAGAACAGTGGTTCTCAAGAGTATAGTAAGCCCAATCTGGACAACTGTCAAAGGGATTTTCTCTTTTATTCTTTTTTTTTTTTTTTTTTTTAATGGTGCTGGGGATTGAACCCAGGGCCTTGTGCATGCAAGGCAAGCACTCTACCAACTGAGCTAGACACCCAGCCTGATTTTCTTTTTTATTGTTATACCAATGGGGTGCAGGTAGGAGGGCTAGATATGCTGAGATGATTAAGAGAGTTTTGCACAATGAAAAATCAACCTACTTCATGCCCAACTTTCAAATGCACTGCTAGACACATATGCAAGTTAAAAACCTATTTATAGTGATTAAATCCAGAATCTAAATCAGTTTTACATAGAAACAAAATATTTTCAGATGGTTTTAATAAAAATTAAACATTTTTATCTAGTATCCACTGTGTTTCTTTAGTTTAATTTTCTTCTTACATAGAACAATTTCTAATCTCTTAAATTCAAATTTATTTGAATACATAAATGAAAACATCTGTTTTCATTAAGCCTTTCAATATAAGCTAAGCATTTACATATTGAAATATGTTCTTTTGTTATAAATTACATTCAGGACATTATAATATTTTTTATGGGTATAAGTACATCTGATCTATGAATCTTATTTTAGGATAATACAAGGGCTTTGTAGAATATTTGTTATTTAAAAAAAGGGTTGAAAAGATTTCAACTACTGTTTTAAAACAGCATAGTCTCCAGTCATAGCTGAAAATGATTTTTCAAGAAACGAAGTTGCCCCTATACATATTGTTATAATACCTTAAATTCTTGCAACTTCCTTTGATAAGAAAAATTAATTCTCACTTTTTCTACATTGCAGAAACATTAATCAACAAAAGAAATGAGATATTTCTTACTAGGACTGTTGGTATCTCTTTGACTTTCATCTTCTAAAACAAAAAGAGATTTTGAGTTAATTGTATTATACATCTATTTATCTGGAAGGAAAAGATAAAAAAAGAAAGAAAAAAAAAGGTCCAATAAAGATTAAGCAAACTTGATTATCTTGAGAGCAGGCAGGATTAATAAGTTTAGAAGTATATGGCAGGTTGCAGAAAAGTTTAGTTTTTACTCATTTATGCTCTTTGAAAAATTTCTCCATGAATATGCATTTCCATTAAAATAGAGGTTAAAATGTTGTTTATCAAAAAGGTACTTTTTCTACATACTGAACTCAGATTTTCCCAAGTATACCATTAATGATTTATTGTTTGTTATCTGTCRGGCATAATGAAAATGCTTTATGTACATTACTTCTTACAATCCTAATAGGCAGGTATTGTTAGCCATATTTCACAGATGTTCTTTAAAACACCTGTGACATGTTTTGAGGTATGACATACCAAAAATCACAGAGGTTAAATGGTAGCAATATCTGATTTCAAAACCTTTACTTTTAATCACTATTCTATACTATCTCCATGTGTGTGTCTCGCATTGAAATATTTCATTAGTTATTATATTTTCACAGTTTTAAAACTAAATTCTAGGAGCTCAGGATAGAGAATAGAGGTGTATATCAAAATCTGTCTGGAAGACAAGTGTCAAGTGGCAGAAAGTGAACAAAACTTGAAACGTTTGAGTCATGGTTGTCTCTTTCTAGCCTTTCACTGTTCCTATGTTCCACTTCCTCATCTTTGAAGTGACACTGGATTAAATGAGAACTCGTGAACTGTTTTGACATTGCCTTTTAAAAAGGCTGCACTGTACATAGTTTTAAAGGAGAGGGCACAATACAACACAGTCTCAGCAAAACCCAGGGTCCTATTTGTGAAATAAGGGAGAGTGTAGTGAGGAGCTCAATGTTAATATGCCATATAGTTGTCATTCACAGTTCTTTGATGATGCTATTCCTATGTCCTCAGATTCCCTCCCTATTCCAGTTCACTCTGGAAAGCMTCCTGCCTCATTCTGGAACAGAAAAGCCCAGCTGGACAGTAACTGTTCCAGTTTCAGGTCAAGCATCATTTTTCTTCTTGGCCCAGAGAACCTTAATAGCAGCCCACTGCTCACAATAATAAGTTCTCAACCTTCCCCTCCTCTGCCATTCAGAGAAGGATGTCAGAAACTTAGAGCCCAAATATCTTCCCTAGGCCCCCTTAAGCCTGACGTAACTGAGTGATTACAGTGAAGGACTTAGAACCGCATGGTGCCTCCACCCCCAATATAGAATTTATTACCTTTTATTTCATCTGGTTCTACCACATTTATTCCTAAGTGAAAAAAATATTTTCAGTTAATGATTATTTACTATTTTATTACTATTTATTTTATCATGTATTTTATACTTCATTAGGTCCTAATTTACTCCCAAAAGACTGAAGTATCCTCATCTCACACAGGTAGAAGCAGAGGCACACAAAAATTAAGTAACTTATACAAAGTTACCTAAAGGAAAGTGGCAGAGGAGCGACTTCCTGAAGCTAGGTATGTCGGTCTACACAGCCCATGTTCAACCCCCACTCCCTGCTCAGTGGCCATCTTTCAAACAACCACAGTGTTACTATGAGACCCTGACGAAAGCATCAGACAAACTCAGGTCCACACAGTGGAAGAGATAAGGACAGATGAAGTGTGTCATCAGTATCACTAGGGGTTCACTTTCAAATTGTGGCCAAACAAATCCATCAGTGCTAATCTTGGATAGTACAAAAGAGTTGCTGAGCTCACTTTCTGAGCCTGTATCCATAACWGAACTGTGACCATGCTGTTTCTGCGCATGGCATGCAGTTTTCATAGGCAGCACTCAGTACTATGTGGTTAGATTTAATTTAGCAGATGCTGAAAATCTAATTTCTTTAACAGGTTACCATTGCCCTAATTTAAAAAAAAAAAAAAAAAAACAACTTAAAAACCACTTTTTTTTTTTTGGTAGATGCACACAAAAAAACACTTTTTAAAGCACTATAATGAACTCAGGAAAAAGGATTTTAAACATTAGATAGGGGATGGCACCTGAGATTTTATGGTTTGATAGTCCTTACAGATATTCCCATGAAGTAAATATGACACTTGAAAGATGACAATTTTGAGGTATAGAAGTGCCATTACTATCATAGCTCTCTGGTAAAATATGATATGTCCATTTTTTTTATTATCTCAGGAAAAAATTAATTTGAGGAGCTTTTTTTTTCCCCTGTACATATAAAGTTCTGTACACATAAAGTTCTGAGGTTCTTCTGAAAAATGGGACTGGAGTCACTGTTCAGTTTCYCTGGCCAAGAAACTCAAGGTCCCTCAATAGCCTTGCCCTCAGTTACAGCTCTCACGTTAAAAATGCTCATTTTTATAAAGGTTATTTATTCAAGGTATGTTAAATCTGTCATGGTAAATATGCTGGAAAAACACACTTGTGGAATCACAGGTGTTTTCAGTGACTTTCAGTTTGTGCCAGTGAATACGATTTTCAAATTCTGGTCTGATGTATTCAAGAGATATGAGCCCCAAAGGTCTGACTGCACTATAGTTTTTGGCTTTTGACTGAAAAATTCTGACTCCATAAATCCTTATTGTACAAATCTACACCAAGCTTAGAGGAGCTTTCTTCATAGCACTTCACTCAGTGTGTGTCCATGCCAGGAAAATACTGGGTTTTGTAACCTGGAGATCCCACATGATGAGTTGTTAACCAAAGCTAACAGCTTGTGAAAGAGCTGAAGTTTCTATTGAGTAACTTTAGCTGTAAAATCTGGAAGGTGCTGGCC